AAAATCCAAAGGCTTTCGTCACTGGAAGATTGACCCGGTCACATTGAGAGATTATTAGTGACCTGTGAAAGAGAAAGAAAAAATGTTTTCTAACAGAAGTTGTACGTTTTATTTTGGTTACTGAAGCTGTTTTACCACCATTTATTGTGTGCATCCTGCTTAGATTTAATGTGTCATCATATGATACCGTGTTTAAAATTTTTTTTAAACAACGTTGTGTTTGCCGCTGTAGTGCTCAGCCAAAAACTGCCGGACTGCCTTCCACGTGACGTGCGGCCTCCACGCCAGCATCGAGATGAACACCATCCTCACGGAGGACGACGAGGTCAAGTTCAAGTCCTACTGCCCCCAACACTCGGGGCTGGAGGGCGACGAGTCCAGGGACCGAGACTCCGAGGACGAGAAGGAGACCGCCAAAGACAAGAAGGGCAGGAGGAGAGGGCGGGTGAGAGTCAAGGAAGACACCCCCTCCTCCTCTTCCTCTTCCCACGTGGCTCCTCAGATCCTCCACAGAGTGCCGAGCCACCTGGAGGAGCTGAGCAGCCGGCAGCAGGAGAAGAGGGTCAGCCTCCGCAAGCTGAAGCTGCAGGAGATGGAGGAGGAGTTCTTCCAGTTCGTGGAGGTGGAGGAGGTGGCGGCTCACACGAAGCTGCTGCCGGAGGTGGTGGACTTCCTGTTCCAGTACTGGAAACTCAAACGCAAAGCCAACTTCAACCAGCCGCTGCTCACGCCCAAGAAGGACGAGGAGGAGAGCCTGGCGCGCCGCGAGCACGAGGTTCTGCTGCGCCGCCTGCAGCTCTTCACCCACCTGCGCCAGGACCTGGAGAGGGTGGGTCTACAGCTCAGAGCCAGAGGGAGGAGGAGGGGCCAGAGGGAGGAGGAGGGGCCAGAGGGAGGGACTGAACAGAGAAACAGATTACATGAATATAAATACATGTTCCACAAAGTGCTGTAGATAAGATGTATTCACTTAACAGCAGGAGAAAACACAGGATAGAGGGAAGAACCAGAAAGAAATATTTTAAATGGCATACATTTATTAGAAATGTAAAGGATCTATAGAAATAATTGAGATCATATAACTACAGTACAGCTGCAGAGACAGGAAGTTGTTAGGGTTAAGGAATAATGTTACTGTCCATCTCTCTTGATCTGTCTGTGATCCCAAGTCCAGCAAGCAGCATCCAGCCTTTATTTTAGTTTTAGAAAGGCTAAATGTCAATTCAAATTCCAGTTTTATTTGAAAAAGGGGGAAATGCTGTCAAATATGACTCGCATGCACTTGTTGACATGCCTACTGGAGCGATTGGGAGTTTAGTGTCTTGCTCAAGGACACTTCAGCATGTTGTTGACCCCCAGCCACAGCAGCCATACTGTGTTTAAACTGGTTGTAATACAGAACAGCAGCACATTTAAGAAGCAGAATCCGGGTGAGCTATTGTTCAAGTGTTGGTCGTAAGTTCTTGTCTAAAGAAGCTGCTGCTGTTTCTCCTCAGGTGCGTAACCTGACCTACATGGTGACTCGGAGGGAGAAGATGAAGCGCTCGCTGTGGAGAGTCCAGGAGAATATCTTCCAGCACCAGATGAAGCTGCTGGACCATGAGCTGCTCACCGGTGAGTCAGCAATACCAATATAGAGGATAGACTTTATTTTTGTCCCAAAATAATAAGTAAACATTGGTGTTTCTCTGTTGGACATTAAATAAGATCAAAGTTTAGTAAAATAGGAAGTCAGTAGAAGATAATATAATACCGTTACACTGACTCTGTCCATCATATCTCTGTTGCAGGCGATCCCTCAGAGAAGGATTTGGAGAAGCTCTTCTCTCTCGACTGGTTATCCTCTCAGGGCTCCGAGTCTGGACTGAAAACCAAACGAGGGTCTTCCAAGCAGGAAAGAAGAAGTGCCGACAGCAAAGGCCTCTCCGATTCCCCTCACAGCCACAAGAGGGACAGTCCGAGCAAACCTCTGGAGATGAAGGACAGTAAAAGCTCCCGGGTCAGAGAGTCTGCCGAGGACACGAGAAACTGCAAACCCCAGACCTTCGAGATGAATCAGGAGCTTCTCTTCCCGAAGCTCCAGAAACCAGAAGTCTTTCAGGAATCTTCGCACAAACCCGAGAGCAGAAAAGGCCCCAAGAGGGAGGCCCAGAGGACAGAGCAGGAGACGCTGGTCAGACTGAAACGAGACGAGGACGAGACAAGAAGGAGAAAGAGGACGAGCGACCTGACGGAGAGCCAGGGGAAGAGTCGCTTCGGGGCCAAACAGCTGGACAAAACCGTGTCCATCCGGCTGGTGGACATCAGGAGCTCGGACCACAGCGACTACTTCATGGAGGAAGGGACGACCAGGAGAAACCCCGTCTCGCTACAAGTGAGCCCCAACACCAAGCTCTCCGGCTCTCCGAGAACCAACGGCTGGACGAGGAAAGCTCCGGCAAACGGCTCGCACACATCCAGCCGAAACGTGAGCGGACATCTTAGGAGCTGGGGGAAGTTCAGGATCCCCAAGAGGAGCGAGAAGCCGGCGAGGGAGCAGGAGGACGAGGAGGAGGAAGAGAAGGAGGAGCTGTTGTTGAGTCCGCTGACCAACGCGCCGCAAACGTCGTACCCCAGGACGAGACTCCGCTCGGGGACGGAGCACGACGGCTCCGCCTCCGACTCGTGCGGGGAGGCGGAGCTGTGCCTGAAGAGGTGTCACTCCCACCAGCTGAGGGGGGGAGGGGCGCCTCTCGGGCCGCGCTACGGGTCGGACATCATCCGCCGGGGCGTGCTGGCCTCCTGATGGCGGAGCGGCATATGAATAAGATGCACTGTGTTAATTGTAAAAACGATCGCTCTTTATACCCTTATATTTTTCTCGATGAATCATACGAATGCCTAGATTAAGAAACAGAGTTGATATTTATTTTTTATTTGTAACATATGTAAATCTGAGAAAATGTTTGACTTTTTTTTGAGCAGGTGTTTATTTTTCTTTCTTTAAAAAGTAGAAAGATGTCAGGTTGCCACTTAAACGCTGGCTCAGATATTTACAAGCGAAAGCATCACTGAGGGATTGTTGCTCGGGACCAGAAGCTCGCAATGTCATTTGTTTGTTTTTACATAGTATTAAACTCAGTTGTACTTAGTGGGAAAAAGCTGACGGACGATTTGATCTCGACAGTGAAATGGGATCTTTTTTTTTTTACATCAAGCTTCGTTGGATGGTTACAGCCACAAACAGGAAGTAAAACTGCCCTTTTATCGCTATTCAATTTCCAGCTGTCATCATTTCTTCAGATTGTTGAACATTATGAATGAAAAAAATGGAATTTCAGAATGACGTTAACGTGTCTTTAGCACTTAAGTGTAATTCAACTGCGAACCGATCGTATCCATCATGTGCCTAACTTTTATTTGAAGCTTTTGCACTACGAGAGGACGGCACAGGTGTGAGCTATGAGAGGATATTTTTACACTGAAACATTTAAAAAGCGTTTTGTACCCTCGGCCGCTGCTGTACTACTGTTATGCAAAAGGAAACTTGTCTTTGTCTGAAAGAGGAATAAAAACTCTGGGAGACTGAAGTCTGTGTGTGATGTTTATATTTAAAGTGTTTTATTAGGAACTAGCCGTGCAGCCTTTCCGGTAAGAAGCACATTTTCTGAGGAGGAAAGACATCTTAAAATATTTATTTTGTTGTCTATACTTTTTATATATTCAACAAAAAAAGACCACTATGAAAACTAGTAATTAAGTAATCCTTAAAGTCATTTTATACAAAGTACTGAACATTTGCTAGTTCCAGATTCTCAATTGTGAGATTGTGTTTAGTTTTCTGTTTTAGCTTAATGTAAAATGAATATCTTGGAAGGTGTTATAGAAAATGTTATAAACATTTCATCGTGGAATTTATTGAATAACAATGATTTAAGTTTTCGACATGCTATACTAGGATGTTTTTTTTATATTGTCATGTCCTGACATTTACCAGTTGTTAAGACGCTTTTTATAACATTTTATGGAAAACTATCAGTGACTTTCCAGAAACTTGGATGAGGTTTTTATGACAAACTATACTTTTATCTATAATACAGGGTGTCCGCGGGGTCTTAACAAGTATTAAAAGTGGATAAATCAATTTAGCGAAAATTAAGGCTATTAAAAAGTATTAAACGGCATTTTCCAAGGTATTACATTTTGTAGCTTGTTTTCAATAAGTATATCAATTGTCCAAAGAGGTTGTATTCTACAGTCTGTCTGAATGTAATCATTGCGTAGGTGTGGTGTGATTCTTTGTAGTTTATTTATGGCATCCCGTTGACGTCACCTGAACAGGACATCGCACGCTCACTGCTTGATAGCGCGCGAAGGCCCGTTTACGCCGGTTGTTAAACAACATCGTTATGGGGAAAGTTCACGTCCAAATGGTTGGAAGATAAGGAGGAAGGACAATCAATACTGTATATAGTAAATGTGAGGTAAAGTGTGTCGCCAATGTAACCGGTTAGAACTCGAAGTGGCGATGAGGTCTTAAAATATATGGAAAGGGTCTTAAAAAAGGTCTTAAAAAGGTCTTACATTTGACTTCAGGATTCCTGCGTATACCCTGTAATATAACTTAAAAAAAAAAGACATTTCGACAAAACAGTATATACTATGTAGATTATTTTTGTATTTTCAACACTTATACTATGACGTTTTTATGAATTTTACTATTTTATGTCTTAATAACATCAAACTTTGACTTTTAATGACATACTATAGTACGACTTAACATACTTTTACTATGACTTTACCTAAAAAGTGTAACAACATACTTTTATTTTTCTGACATACAACTTTTTTGAACTGTATTTATATAATACTATGCTATTTCTTGACCTTTTATTTATAAGCATACTTTACAATGAACTTATTGACATTGGTCCAACCAACGGTCAAACACTTAAAGGTAATTATCAGAAGACTAAGAAAAAAACAGTTTAGATAAAAGTAAAAAAGAAAAATACAAGGTAGACTAATCTAAACATTTATTATCTGAAATACATTTAAAGGGCCTGAAGTTGTTTGATCAAAACAAAAGCGCCGCATCAGGCAGACAATCGATGCATGTTTGTTCACTTTTTATTGCACGATTCAACAGACGTGAGATCCTGCACAAAAGTGTTTCAGCACTGCATCAAGAAAAACAAAAACAAAACATACGATGTCAGAGAAACTGTATGATATTTACAATAGATGCATCACTATTACCACTTATACAGTATGTACATATTAGTCTCTGGTTCACTAGGACAGTAGTTACAGAAGGAAACGGTACAGCTCTACAGGTTTACAGTGCTAACAAAACAACTGGCTGGACTACATTCACTCAACACGACGTTAGGATACAAAGAAAGTGGAAAAATACTCGTACGACACTCGCTGCACCCCCGGACGCATCGCATTCACACGCCCTGGGAAGAAGGAAAACACTTAAACAAAACAAAAAAAAGGTGCAGTTATAAAAAAATATATCCAAAGATGCACTGTTCTTGTGTCACTGGTGTACAACTTAAATGTGGATTTTTGGAGAGGTTTTAGAGGAAAAACTGAAAAGCCCAGACAGTAGCCTTTAGATGAACTGGTCCAGTTGATCCAGATATTAAAAAGGTGACAACTTTCTTTTATAAATAAACGTCAGATATGAAATAAAAACGGTGCAAAAATTGTCCATAGCCTCAAAATTCTTGGAAACAAAACCCGAATGAGCCAACCCCCAAAAAAGGGAAACTTATCACTCGAATATGCAGACTTGAACATGAAATGTGAGACGAGCATCTCAAATTCAAAACGGAAAAAGAAAGAGCCAGCTTTTGTTTTTTGCTTAACCAACATGCATATCTTTAAATGGAACAAATGTGCATCTGAAATAGTTCAAAGCTCAGACTATAGTGGCCATTTTAGGACATCTTGGACTGAGTTTTTAGGGCTCAGCTCCACATTTTCAGCCTTTTAGATTTCCAGCTACAGTCTACGGGACGTCAGGCTCATCACCTCAAAAACAAGTTGCTAGCCAGCGTTTAGAAGTACAAGCAAGATGCCGTTTGAGACTCAAAATCTCCTGGGAATAAAAACAATAGACGTCTGTCTTTTAAAAGCTAATCTACAGATGAAATATGAATGGTTTTACGATCAATGAAAGGCTCTGCCAGGTGACACTGGGAGGTCTTCAACATTTTGATCAGCATGATTTGTATGTTTACATGAAAAAAAAGTTACAGCATATTAAGTGTCAGTCTCAAAACTCAATTTAGAACTTTCTTCCTGAAAATCACACTTATTCCTTCATGTTTCTGGGTTAGCCTCGAGCAGTTAAGACCCAGTAGTGTTTCTATTTAAGGCGGCAGTTTAAGAGCGCTCTCAGTTTAATACTTTAAACTCTTGACATGCAGGCAGCGCCATCGTTCAGCATTCTGATCCCTAAATGAAAACAATAGACTCTAAACGGTAAATCTGAGCTAAAAACAACAGGTTGTAAAATAGCAAACACATGTCTACGGTTAAATGTAACCTAACAAAACAAAAAGGTCATCTGAAGCCATAGTGTCCTGGTTTTACCTCTGGCATATATACTATATATACACAATTAAAAAGTTTTTGCAACCGGTTTGATGTTTTATACTATTCCAGTAATCATGTTTGTCTTTGATATACACATATATAGATATAAAAACTCTGCTGATGATCCGTGTGGAGTGATGAGGGGGGGCCAACAGTGCTGCTCAGTTTGACTTTCTGCAGAAACCCACGGGTTCTTTTTGTTATTCTAAAATGAAAGAGTAAAAGGAAGACCGTAAAAAGGCAGTCCTGTTGGATGAAGAATGAGGATAGAAATAGGCAAAGTGTTCTAACCTGCGCTCGCTCTGCAGCTTTTCACCACAGATGGTTCGCCTCAGTGCAGAGTAGAGAAATAAACCTGAACACGTTTAAAAGTTGAAGAACGTTAGAGGCCGCTGCCGAGCATGTGAGGAATCAGCGGCTTTCCCTGATGAAGATGTACAGTGCCTTGGTTTTGTGATCTTGCGAGACTTAAGTAAGCAGGGTTTATATTTGTCCACCAATGGGGAAGCACGTGTCAGAGTGGTTTCTCAGAGAGGTCACTTTTAGGCCTCTGCTGCTTTCCTCTTGGAGCCTTTTATTTTGGCGGGGGCTCCTCTGGCCTTCCTGGAGCCTTTAGCAGGACGAGCAGTAGTGACGGTCGGTGTGGTCTCCTTCGGCCCAGAGGTTTCCACTGGTTCCTGGGTGATCGTTCCCTCCAGCTCCTCGTGCTCCTGACAGCACATTTGCCCCGTGGGGGGCCAGGTTCGCAGCGCCCCCTCCTGGTGGGCCTTGCAGAAGGAGTTGGGGCAGAGCTGGCAGAAAGCCTCCGAGGTTTTCCCGCAGACGTCACAGTGGTGCCAGGGGCAATCCCAGCGGCCTGCAGGGAGCGAGAGAGGAAAGGAAACGTTTTTCAGAATACATGAAAAATAATTGTGTTGAAATAAACTCAAACACTGTACAAAAGGGGATAGAAATAACCTGTGATAACCAGAGCTACAAAGATTAAACTCCTGTAAAGAGTATTTGAATGGTAATGAACATAACTGTTAAATCAAAGAGAACATTATACCAGTAAACACTTTGTTTACATGCACAAACAGTTTTGACATTAAAACAGTAGTATTTGATCAGATTCTCTATAAAAAGCTGCAGTGAGTTTCAGGCGTTTCTTACCGAAGGGTCTCTTGGTGAGGTTCAGGCAGGTCAGGTGATAAGCCTTGCTGCACATCTTCTTGCCGCAGAGCACCAGCTGCCCTCCGTCTCCGCAGCGGAAACAGTCGTCATCAGACTTCTTCTTCCCCTCCGCTCTCTTCCTCTTATACTTTCTCTTCAACCGCTTCCCTTTGGGCTCAGCTGTCTGTCCGTTTGAGTTCTGCAGAGGAGACGCCAGGTTGGGATCAAATTGATCTACACTGTATACATGTACAATTCAATACAGTTCAAAAAGTTCCACTCTGATTATAAAGCTCACCTTTGGCCGAACACCAAGGAAACCGCTGCAGTTTGGAGCCTCGCAGCGACAGACCGTCTTCTCGTTCCCGAGGCAGTCCAGGTTGTAATTAAAGGTCAGCTCAGTGCCTGGAATAAAAGTTAACATACGTTTGCTCTCAGTATTGTTACTTTGTTGTAAATGTAATTATTCTTCCCACATATGGCAGGGTAGTGAATAAAAGCTTTCATCGGTGGTCTCACCCTCTGGGATGTCGCAGACGGCGAACAGGCCGACCCTCGTGTCTCCGTTCACCGTCCACTTCTGCGTGTCACAGTTGGGCTGACAGCTGTGGTTCATGAAGCGAGAGTAGTTTCCCTTCGGACCAGCGTCAATGATCCGGTCCTTAAAAAGATAAGGAAATAATTGCTTTAATTTTTGTCAAACGTATTCAGTGTTTCCCCTACCATTGTCTTGGCGGGGCGCCCTGCCAACGGAGCCCCGCGCCCCGCCTGAAATTCAAGGTGTTTTTTGTTTTTTTTTAATAAAAAAAAAAAATATATATATATAGCACCAAATTGCAACTGAAGTAATCTATCTACGCTCACTTTTCACATTGAACATGTGCTCTTTTATTAAATAAACTAAACGCCTATGTTATTTATCCAATGTATGTGCATGTTTCAGTGTCCACTGCTTTGCGTATTCACATTCTCCCTCCGCTGTTTCTGAAGGGCGGGGCTCCGCTCATTTCTCCCGTGTTATTACCCAAAGTTAATGTAAACTTGAATAATGTACTTCATTTGAATGTAATAATTATGTTGGTTGTTGTTTGTGGAAGCGCCAGTGAATGAGCCCCATTAACTGAGTTTTAAACATCACTTTAAATGGAAGATCCCCATAGGCCCCGCCCACTCGATCGGATCGGCCGATACTGATTCCGGCCCCAAAATTCCCGATCGGAGCATCCCTATCACAGAATTCAGTCAAATCTTCTTTTAAAGGTTTTTAGGTAAAGATTTATAGAGATTAGATTCTCTTTTTTTTTTTTTTTATTGAATCAAATTTTGTCTTCTTTCTTTTCATTTAAAAAACGTTCCAGTGCGTGCCTCCCTTTGTCTGCGACAGGATGGAGAGAAAATGTTTGTTGACCGCAGTAAAATGTTGTTTTAGAGGGGCTAAACCATTGATCTCTCTTCAATACATTTGGACTTTAGGTCTTAACAATGATCTGGAGTACACATAGTATAATACTTATAATGTTAGAGAAGCCTAATGTTCCATTTGAATGAAAATTATTCAATGAGAAGACAAGAGAAACATTAACATTATTACACTTGTTAAAACTACATATTGTTTGTATCATTAGCTTTAATAGGATTCAATCTATGGCCTAAAGCCGGGTTTGTAGTATTGACTCCTGTAACGTTACAGTTTCTAGCATGCAACATTCCCAAAGCAATACCATTGTGTTAATCTGGCTCCCAGTAGAAATGGCTCTGCTACAGAGAAACAGCACCATGATACACTGCGGAGCAAATCAAAGTACTTCCAGCTTCCAGTACAGCACTCACCTTGTCGATGGTGAGCATGTAGAAATCTGTGATGTTGTTCTCGTGGGCGTACTTGATCCTCGCCCTGCACTCCTCCTCGTCTATCAGCTCTCCGATGTACTCGTTCACAAACTCGCCCTGTTGGAGAAGCAGAGATGTGTTCAACTCAAATTTCTCAAGTCTTTTATTTTAACTTAATTGTAGGCTCAGTTCCTCTAAAAAAATAAAACCTTTACACCCAAGGAAAGTTTCTTTATGTGTTAGTAAAAATGTAATAAAAAAGGGAACTAATTTGTCTTTTTGGTCAAAGGTTTGATCAAAGTGAAAACAGTTAATATACTCTACACCAGATGGTACTTGTAGTACTGATACCGTCCACTAGACTCCTAGTTACGTCGCGAGCTGCGTACATGATTTCGTTTGGCAGCCAAATACCGCAAAATAATCTGTGACGCGTTTGTATTTCTTGTAACACCGGCTGTTGTTATGCCTGCTGTGACGGTAAGTTACCGCTTGTAATTATGCCTTTACAAGCTTAAAGGTTGTATTTATCATCTGAATTTGATGAAACAAGTTTAATATTCTAAAAACCAAGACTTTGTTTATTTGAAATCAGATGAAAACAAACTGTCACGGACCCTGCCGTGTTATCTATGATTACTATATGCTTTTCATTCATAATTTCAGCGGGAGGGAGGGAGGGGGAGCGGCGCTGAGGAACAGCAGAGTGCGGGTTGACAGGTGTCTGTGTGGACATTCCCCTTATTGTGCGTCAGCAGAGACAGGCTACACGTGTCTTAGGTTCAAGTTAGACAACTAATGTCTGGGTTAGTGTTCATGACTTCATGTTTATGTCATCTTAATGGTTAACCTCAATGCACACACATTTTCCGTGCTTTCCAATAGTTTAAAATAGTTTAATTCCACTGTTAAATAACCTGTTCAATACAAACATGCCACTTGTAAAAATTAAATAACATTTCTGTGAACTGATATTTGTTTAGTGAGCTTATTAGAGGATGTTCCCTGAAAGATTGAAAAACGTCAATGAAGATGTCAGACTTAGTATATTTGTTAATAATTACATACAATACATGGAATTTGTGTGTGTGTGTGTGTGTGTTCCAAGTTAATCTGTGGCCAGTACATAAATGATGTGGCCCCCACCACCATCCAAGTTGCCCATCCCTGCTCTACACAGTATGCGCTGGGTAGATTAGCTGACAAAATGAAATCTCATGTACAGTGTTCTTAAGTTGAGCCTGATTAATTAGGGATCTCCGAGGCTGAAAACAATATGGAAGTAAAACAAAACATACATGTTAAATAACATTCTTTACTCATGATATCCCTAAAATAAGGAAACATTGAACATTCATTTGATGAGTCTTTTCTGGTAAAATGTAAATTGAAATGGCTGGTGTTACTTTAAGCAGTCATATTGCAGGACAGCCCTTGGGCTCACCTTCTTGATGTCCCGCAGAGAGATCAGGCCCCAGCCCTTCCCGGGCGCCTTGATGATCTTGGTCTCGGGGTAGAGGCGTTTGGTGAAGTCTTGGTTACAGCAGCGCACCCCGCTGGGACACACCTGCGGGTGGCACTCGTACTGCAGCATGCGGTTCAGACACTCCGACTCAAACCCACACGGCCTGTCCACTGACGGCTTGCAGTTACACTTCGGGATCTCAGAAATGTCCGCAGTGTAGACCTGAACCTTACCGTACGGTTTGTTCACCTGAAGGCAGAAGAAAAAGAAAAAACCATCAACGTCAGGAAAAATCAATAACAGATTATATCTATAAAAGTAGGAAAGCAAACTCTTCAGATGCATTAACTGAATACTTGAACAAAGGAGAAAAAGGGAAAACACTTTTAGATTTCACACCTTGATAAACTTATAAGGGGGTGGCTTTCGGCTGTTCTCTTGCGCTTCCTTGGCCTCTCGTTTGATTTTGTTCTCCTTGAAACGAGCTTCAGCCTCCAGCAAAGCTGTGGAAAAACAGACAATGTACAGGCTCATCACATGATATCTCTTCAGTGTAATAATTTACCAAACATTTAGCTGAAGTTAAAACAGTGCAAGTATATAAACAGTGCAATTTCAAAACTAACACTTTCTCAATTAGACAGTTTATGCTTTCTTAATTGTGCTTATATTCTTTTAACTTGATAAATGTGAATTTGGAAAACATTTATAAAATGTATTGTACTGAAATGATTCTGCTGATTACCTACATTTACATAAAAAAAGTTCCCCTTAAGTCCTGAGCCTGTTTTTCAGGTCTCAGGCTCGAAAATGACATTACCAGAACAAATGACTATAACTTCACTTCTAAAAGGGGTAAATTAATCATCTTTTTTCTCCAAGTAATGAGAAACCTGTGAGTTGGATGTAGAAAAGTCAGAATCAATATTGATGTTTTTATTTTTAAAATAAATTCAGATTGAACATAGTAAAAAAAAATGTAAATTATAGTGTCCGTCCAAAAAAAAAACACCCTTGAATGATGGGATAGTAGACTAAAAAGCTTTAGGATCCAAACTATAACATATAATAAGTACCCTGTATTAGGGCTGAACGATTAATCGATTTTAAATCAAAATCTCGATTTTAAATTATGCGGTTATCAAATCGCAAAGCCTGCGATTTCTTTAAAAACTTTTTTTTCTTTTCTTCTTCTTGTGTGTCAGTCATCCACACCAATCAGAAGTGCTGTGCTCCACATGTACCAGCCATTGTTAACCAATCAGAAGTGGCCCATGATAGAAGGTGATGGACAGATTGATCCAATCACCTGCCAAGTATTTTTGAAAGTGCCTGCCCTTTTCCAAATGGCTTCCAATGGAGCTTTCCTAGATGGTTTGGTGAAACCATCTGAGTCAGGTTAGTAATGCTCCATCACATGTTGTACATCTATTACAGGGTGAATCTTAAACTGAAGCTTGACTTTAAAGCAACCCAACGGAAGTTTCATGTAAGTTTAGTTATTTCGCTCGTAGCTCGGGCTGCGGGGGTGCTAGAGACGGGAGCACGTTGATACGACCTTCCTAGCCGGAGATATGGCCGCATTTTACAATAAACTTCTGTTGGGTCGCTTAAAAACAAATATCGCAAATCGAATCGCAATATCTGTCAGAAAAATCGCAATTAGATTATTTCCCCAAATCGTGCAGCCCTACCCCTGTATCAAGATTGATGCAAAAACAAGTGACATTTGACCTTTTTAGAGAGATTTAGAAAGAAAAACAAACACTTCTGGGGTCATTTTCCATATCTCTGGAACCCATCGGTCGATTTTGATGATTGACATCTCTTTTTAACCGTTAGAGCCAATAGAATCGAGGGGAAGTTTCTAAAATCCATCTAAACATTACCGATTGGTGAATAGAGTGATGCGCAGCCAGAATGCCCAAAACCGGAAGCTGGGATTCACTCTCGTAGCCATCAAAGCAGCTATATATGAAAACTCAGTTTTTGCCATAAATATGAAGATGGATTATCAGTAATCATTTCAAAGTGACACAGACACATTGGATTAACCTATGGATTAACCTTCAGCAGCGTTTATCGTTTTAATGCCATTGAACACAACTTTTGATCAGGATAACAGCAAAGGTAAGACAATGTCCTGTTTTTGCTCCGTAAAGCTACGTCGTGTGTTGTCTGGTTTGCTTCCCCTGCCGCGAGTTTTGATCGCACAGTGATGATACTAATACCCCTAGAATCTGTGGAATCTCAGCTTGCTAGCTGATATCTGTTTTGTGCAGATCCGATAAGTAATAAAGTATTTCTACCGTGAATTCTGTGCTAAGTGCGTTAGCATTTCTTCGCTCAGGGCTCATTTAGACGCTTCTTGTGAGACTTGTGTTTTGTTTCGGTAAAAATGGTTTGTATCGTCAGGTAGCTGAGTTTCTTCCCGTTAAGTGGGTATGACACATTAATAGGTTTTTAAATGTTAAGCCCTGAGACACAGTTTCGTGAAAAAACTGGTTAAGTAAACATAAACTTTAACCCTCAACTATAAATGTAAAAGGTTAAAATCAAAACAAGCCAAACACTTTTATGTGCAGAAGTTGTGCTTTAATGCAATTTTCATTACTTTTGTGTTCCTAACTTCTTTCATGAGTTTTAATAACTTTTAAATCACAAAATGTGTCCAAAAAGTATTTCTAGGAAGTATATCTTTACCGTTCTTGAAGACTTTTCCAATGCCGGTCCTCTGGTGCTTGCTGCCTCGGTCTCCCTCCATGTAGGGAAACACTCGGCCCTGGTGAGTCCAGAAGTAATCCTTGGAGCCAAAGAAGAAGACGGGGAACTCTCCGATCTCATGACGAAGGTGCTGGATGTTGGTGGGGACATTTCTGGGGTGGTGGATCTCTGCAGGCCACCATCTGAAGAGGAAAAGGGGAAGGAACAAGAGTTAGTTCTTTATTCAGAGTCACAGTCCCAATACAGAACCACAAGGAACACAAGCCTTTCTGTAAAATTAGAACAGATAGAAAGAAATCCGAATAAGGGAAGAGATTCTCTGACCTGTATGTTCCCAGTTTGACCCAGATGATGTCTCTGTATTGTGGTTTCTTTCCGGCTCGGCAGTCGTTACAGAACCAGCTCCCATCAGGCATAGCGATGTTCAGGCAGTCGGGGTGAAAAGCTGCCGGACAAGACTCGCAGCACAACAGCTGGCCTCCTGCAATATAACAACATTTAGTAACAAGTCAGAATCATCAAACCTGGCAAAAGAGCCCAAATCATCTGTGCAAAGGACATAGAGATGTGTTTAAGTTGTGAAGCAGCACGTTTACAGGGGAACTTAAAGAATTACGTTAGTATCGATTTTAAGACTAAGAAGCTATGCATTTGATACGCTTTTGTTTTTCAGGGTTTTAGTTTCATCACACACACTACCCCATGAAAAGAATACATCTCTGCAAACGTGGATGTGGTTCTAACTGAAAACTGATGCTCAGGAACTGCTCTAGTTCAGCATCTCGTTTGATTTTCAGTTTGCAGTATGTGGTTATAAACAGCTCTTAATAGAGATTGAAGAGATACGGATTACTTAGAGACTAAACTTTGTTGCTACAGAACATTAACTGCACTCTCTGCAGCGCATAATACAAAAAGTATTCATTTATTGTTTTTTTTTATCTATTGATTCTGACAGCACAACAGACCCTTACAATTCTGTCAGACAAAAATGACATAAATGTATTGCTATTGGCTGTCATGCTGATTAGAGAGAAATGGCAAACCTTTGGAGCAGACGAAGCACCAGCTGACGTTCACATGCGTGTGGTGCCTGTAACCCTTCTTGGCACTGAAGTGGTTGGTGCAGATGAAGGCCGTGTTGGTGATCATCTCACTTCCCGCAGCCGCACACAGGTCGCCCACGTGGTACGCCACGGGGCAGCGCAGGCAACGCATCAACTTCCCTGCAACAGCAAGATGGAGGTATACAGCAGATTAGACAGATTCACCACACTCAGGAGTACAAGTGACATATCTGATAAAGAAAAAGTGATAGATAAGGCTTAATGTTTAGGGTCTCATTTGTCCGAAAACGGGAGTTGACTGCATCATGTTGCAAATTAATCTTACTAGTCATATGGGTCAAAAATAAAAAAGGATAATTTATTTTCTACTATTATAGAAAATGTTGTCCGAAAAGCTACTTTTAACTTAAAAAAATGTAATCTGTAAATTATGGCAGGACATTTAGTTTCAAAATGTTAAATAGTTAAGATATAATGATGATGTCTTTCCCACACAGCTTTAATACAGCCACACAATCATGTGCCTGAGGGTATGAGGATTAGCATGAAGGAAATCATCAACTCAAGTGTAAGTGCCAATACTTAAATATATAAACATGAAAATAAATGTTCTTGAAACTAAGCAACTAGTGCATTTGATCCTTTACCATGATTGAACTACAATCGCAGGACTAACATTAACGCCAAATGATAAAGTCACATCTTTAGTGTCGCACAGCCTCACCCTTAGTGGACTTCTGCTTGTTGCGGCAGTCGAAGTTGCAGCTGAGGCAGGCGTGCAGCGGACAGCGGAGGCCCTTGTTGTCGAACACAGTGAGGGGGTTGAGGCTGATGCACGCCTCGTGGTAAAACTTGCCGCAGTTTTGGACGTGGCAGCGACGCAGCGTCCCATCTGACTGCTTACATTGGAAACATGAGTGAATCCCTGAGGAAAGCATCGAGGGAAAACATGTTAAACAGCAATAGATACAAATATGCATCCAAATGTAATTCTGTTATCACAAAAAACTGAGTTACCAACTATTTTTGACTGTACAAACTCACCTGTGCTGCACTCCTGACACAGCAGCTTCTCGTCAGGTTTGACTGACGGACCCAGACAGTGGAGGTGAAACATCCCACAGCACTGACCCTCACAGGCAACTAGGTCCTCACCAGCCTGCTGACACACCTGCAGGAAAAACACACAGATTGAGACATATGTGGAGGTAGAGACATTTCATTGAGTGATCAGAGAAAAAAAAATGAAATTGAAGTAAGGAGAACAAGACATTTTACTGGCAGAAAGTGTGAAAGTATGTCCATATTAACCGTCCTTAGGTTTCATGAAAAGCGCTATATGAAGGCTATATCCAGCATGCATGATGGCCGTTGTTGGCTATGTTTAAATGTATTATCTTTTCAATTTACACACGGCATCTATTGCACGTCTGTCCGTCCTGGGAGAGGGATCGCTCCTCTGTTGCTCTCCCTGAGGTTTATTCCATTTTTCCCCTTTAACTGTGGGGGTTTCTTTGGAAGTTTTTGCTTGTACGACGTGAGGGTCCAAGGATAGAGGGTGTCGTATTGTCATATTGATATTCTGTACAAACTGTGAAGTCCACTGAGACAAATGTAACATTTGTGATATTGGGCTATATAAATAAACATTGATTGATTGATGTTAGAAACAAGCAAAGCGGCATTTGCACATTTAATTAAATGTAAGGACAGTGGGATACTGAAGACGTACCTGGCAGACAAACTCTTTCTTCCGCTCGCCCTTCTTTATCCCGTCTAAGCTGTCAATTGGAGAATCAGGACGTCCTTCACTCCCAGAACCCTGCAGCAAATAACGTGTGGTGGTTTGAATCAATCAGACACAATTGTAGAATTACTTAACAGTATAGCCACTAACAATAACCTAAAGTACACTGTTTGAAACAGATCTGAGTAAACAAAAAACAAAACAAAAACATACAACACAAAATGGAAACTGCCCAATTTAAGTTCTGCTCATAAAGTGGAAAGAATGGGCAAGAATTGTCTTATTCTTGATAATAAGCTTGTGTGATTAAAATAAAACCAGCAAACTTGCACTGGTAAGCTTAATCTTAAAGAGGACCTATCATGCAAAATGCACTTTTTGATGTCTTTTATACATAAATATGTGTCCCTGGTGTGTCGGGGAACTCACGCAGCGTCAGAAAATAAAACCCTCTCTCTTTTCCTCCGTACCCAAATCTCTAAAAACGGGGGTACAACGGAGCTGATCCAGATTTGCGTCCGATATGACGTAATATCGGAAATGTAGACCCACGGCTAGGGATGCTCTGATCGATCGGTCACCGATCGAGATCTGCCGATACTCACTCTCTACCGATCGATCGGTGCTCTCTAAACATGCCGATCGCATCACGTAAAATACATGACACTTTTCTCTGTGCGCGCCAAAACAAGCTCGCCAAAATGGCTTCACCGGTCTGGCATTATTTTAAGGTGTCCGAAAAAGACAGTAAAATAGCGGTATGCAACGTGTGTGTGAAGCAGAAATCCTGCAGCTCCACCCGCTGTGACGGACCGGTGAGCGAAACACACACTAAGAGTTAGACCTAACACACTTAGCTATTTTATCTACCTCTGGAACAAGCTAAACTAGTTATAAATATGTTTATTCTTCACTGTCGGCCTCACACATTACTGGATCAGCGAGCTGCATGAGACGATACTGACGGGCTGTCAGGAGAGGGAGAGCGGGGGAGAGAGAGGGGGAGAGAGAGAGGGAGAGAGAGAGGGGGAGAGAGAGGAAAAGAGAGCGCTTGCTCATTTCTCCCGTGTTATTATCCAAAGTGAATGTAAACTTGAATAATATACATAATTTGAATGTAATAATTAAGTTGATTGTTGTTTGTGGAAGCTCCAGTGAATGAGCCCCATTAACTGAGTTTTAAACATCACTTTAAATGGAAGATTTAAAGTGATGTTTAAATCTTCCATTTAGGCCCCGCCCACTCGATCGGATCGGCGATCGGTATCGGCAGATACTGATTCTGGCAATCGGCGATCGGCCCCAAAATTGGCGATCGGAGCATCCCTACCCACGGCACTATCAGAAAGTTGCCATCAGAAACAATGCCCGGCTGTTTTGGACGTAATATGGTCGGTGTTTACATTAGCATCGCTAACACTCAGAGCTAACCTGTACTGGAGAGCATGTGTGTGAAGAAGCAGGAAATAAAAAGGAACTCACCTTGTGGTATAACCGGCAAGAGAGAAAGCCTTTGAGCTCCATACTGTTTCAGAAATAATCATTGATAATCCATGATATGGTGTTTCATCACGGCAGTATTTAGTTTAGACAGTAGCTGAGAGTCCCGCATGAGCTCAGCCCCTCCTTTTTTTTTTTTTTAAATCAATTTCTTCTTTTTTTTAAAGCTTTATACCCAAATCAGCACTTTTAAAACAGGAAGTGAAATAGAGGGATATGAGGCATGGCTAGAATGGGTGATCTGTTTGGTATTTTGAGCAAAACACTTCATAGACATGTTTTTTATATATTTGTATATATCTGAGACCTATGCTATTGCCTAAAAATAGCATGATAGGTGCACTTTAAATAATAGTATAGCATCATCAAACTTCAAAATAACAATTTAACCTGTTGAGCACTTTTTAACCTCAGGCTGCTGATGTGAGGTTATTCTCTCACCTCGGGATCCGGACACAGGGAGGTCCTCCTCTTCTTCGCCTTGGAGAGCGTGAGTTCTCCATCCTGCTTCCTTTTCCTTCTACGCTTTGGTTTCTCCGCTTCTTGGTCTTCTGTGAACAAAATTAGGTTAGGAGTGTGTTTGGAGCTATAACAAAACAGCTAAGATTATTTAGAAGCTAGAGCAAATCACACAGGTTTCAGGTGTGAATTTAAAGGAGAAGCCCATTAATGTATTGACTTAACAGATGTTTACCAGGGCATATTCGATATGGAGAAAATGACCTTCTCCTTAAGACTTTGTAGTGAAAAATTTGACCAATACTGGGCTAAATGGGTTTCACATATGAAGAATATTCCCCAACTGCAATACATTTTTTTTTTGGTTTTGTTTATTTTGATTCAGATTTTGTGTAAATAGGACACAATTCTGCTGTATATGTAACTTTCCCCCGTTTTACCTTGTATAACTGCATTGCTTGTCTCACCCACCCTGGTTCCACATGTGTGTCTCCTAGAGAATAATTCTTGATCCTCTCTCTTACAATTTAATATCAGGGTATATGCAGGAATCCTGAAGTCAAATGTAATACCTTTTAAGACCTTTTTTAAGACCCTTTTCATACATTTTAAGACCTCATCGCCACTTGGAGTTTTAACCGGTTACATTGGCGACACACTTTACCTCACATTTACTATATACAGTATTGATTGTCCTTCCTCCTTATCTTCCAACCATTTGGACGTGAACTTGCATTTCCCCATAACGATGTTGTTTAACAACCGGCGTAAACGGAGCTTCGCGCGCTATCAAGCAGTGAGCGTGCGATGTCCTGTTCAGATGACGTCAAATCCAACGGGACGCCATAAATAAACTACACAGAATCACACTACACACCTACGCAATGATTACATTCAGGCACACTTTAGAATACAACCTCTTTGGACAATTGATACACTTATTGAAAACAAGCTACAAAATGTAATACCTTGGAAAATGCCGTTTAATACTTTTTAATAGCCTTAATTTTCGCTAAATTGATTCATCAACTTTTAATACTTTTTAAGACCCCGCGGACTCCCTGTACAATTTAATATGGACTGTAATGGACACGTGGGTACCCTCACCCTCTGATGGACAGTAACTCCAACCCCAATTATAGATGTTGTGCTACTTTGTAATACCCATGGTGACTAATATATTATACATTTGTATTTTTTGTTGTTATAAATAAAAAATATGTTTACCAGTGAGGAGAGCTTTTGGCTTTGGGAGTCTGACTCTCTTCTTGGGTTCGGTTACATCTTTGTCCGTTTTCTTTCTTCTTCTCCGCTTTTTTTCTGTTCCTTCTGTAGTCAAAGCCTGGGAAGAGAAGACAAAAGGAAGAACATCTATTTACAAAGTGCCTACTATTCATTTTGGGAAATAAAATCATGTGAAGTTTGGTTTAAAAAAAAGATAAAAGATCATGCATAATCTTTGAAATATTGCTTTGTGTTAGATGTTTAAATGTTTAAACAATTTCCCAATTTGGGATCAATAAAGTACGATCTATCTATCTATCTATGTTTACTTATCAAATCATTTTAGATCTCCAAAGTGTTTCCCATCTCAGCTATTACGTCGGAAACCTCACCTGTTTTTCAACTTCTTTGGTGGTTCTACGCCTCTTTTTGGGCAGCTGAGCCTCATCTGCCGTAGCATCTGTTGGTGGGCTTTTAGGCGTCCTCTTTCGCTGCTTCTTGACTAAAAACAAAGAAACGTTTTTGTTTTTTTTAAACCTTAACTTCGTCCTGAATCAAACATGTTATCTGCCGTTAAGAGATAGCACAGGAAATGAAAACAATGTTTTTAAAGGCAGCTTTGAAAGTGGCTTGAAGATTAGTTTAACCAAACGTTGCTTAAGAAAACATAAAAGTCTAAAATAAATTGTCACACTCGAATAAGGATGAAATAGCACATTCTCTTGCATTTGAGCTCACTTAAATGACACATTCTCTATGGCTTTTTTTCACTTAGTCAATCACAACAACTTTAACAAGCAACACAACTATCAAAGGGCAATTGTGCAATCAAGGTTGAATGGCTTACTTGGTTACAAACATTTTTTATACAATCAGGATGCAAAGTTCTTAAATAGTCTGGTCACATTAAGAGATAAATGCCACAATAACACAATTCAGTGTTTTGATAGCAACATGAGGCAATTCACAGATTCCACAGCTCTAGTAAACTCATACCAGCCAAGGCCAGATTTAACTAACTAAGTTTCAACTTTCAACCAACCTGGAACTGAAACTGAAACTGCAAGTGGGACTGGCTCTGAGATATTGTCTGTCGAAGAAACCAGCTTCGATTTCCTTTTCTTTACTGGGGCAGTTGTGTCCGTTGTAGATTTTTTCTGTCTCCTCACGATCTTTGTGGGAGACTGAGGCTGTCGGGGTCTTCGCTTTTTCTTCTGAGGTATGACTGATTCAGCTTCCAGATCTGGTGCAGAAGTGGTAGGATCCTAGAAAGAAATCATTAAGAAATGTATCAACTGGCACCATCCCAAAAAGGCAAAAACTTTCCAAAAACCCTAGTGTGACACAATTAGGGTTTTACATATTCACATTCAAAATTGCTTACAGTATTTTCAGATTGATTTTGTATTAGAATAAATATTTGTTTCTACTTAAAGTTAAAAAGGTCAATAAGTTGTGCGTTTATAAGACTGTTTATCATGTTGAAGCCTATTCGTCAATACAGCAGCAAAAAAAACATACTCGTTTGAAAAAAAAACAGCTGTTCTCGGGTTATACAAGGCTAAATGGCTTTATTCACCGTTTCATTTGCACTTCAGAACGTTTCATGGAAGGTCCCACATTTACTTGCTCCATGAACCTGTGTCTGCAAGTCTGCATTCAAATAACTCTAAATGATGCAGGACACAAGCGATCCACTGATTTGACTGATTTGAATGAATAATCCTCACCTGTGAGGCTGGCTGCGGATGAATCACATCTTTGGAAGAAAGTGTCTTTTTCAGCAGTTTTTTCGATAGTACATTTTTTAGAAGGCCTTTGCCCGTTCTTCGGCTTCCTCCTGAGTTGAGTTTTTTTCTGGGTGCCCGTGTCTTTTTCTCTGTTGAAGTGCTTTCTTGGGGTTGAGGGGCGGCTATGGGGTCGGGGTCGGGGTCGGCGGCGCCAAACATCAGAGAGGGAGGTTCTGGGCTGAGTCTTGATTCTGTCTCCTGGGCCTGCTCGTTGCTCGGTTCTGGCTTCAACTTCTCCAGGATGCAGGGGTTCAGATGAGGACCGTCCTCATCGTACAGAAATGTGAAGTTCACTTTGCGCTCGTGCTGTGACATGCTGATGGCCTCCTTAGCCTGAATGACACCCATGTTCCACTGAGCCTGGAGTTTACGGGGCACAGAGGGAGCCGTCTGCATGGCAGAGGGAGGGAAAGAAACATAGTTATCCAAAAGTTATATAAATTACCACCCAGTAGTATTGTTTAATCTTTGTGTTCTCCTCTGGAATATATGCTGCTAGGAGAAGGCCATTAACAAAGAAATACTTGTCTTACATTGAGGAGAGAATTAAAAACGTTTACAAACTTGATTACTAGGATGTATCGTTTTTTTATGTTGTAAACATTATTAATTTCCTGTTTGTGGTAAGAAAACAGAATGAAAGTCTAACTGGGATGGCTGTTTGTTTAATGCGTTTCAGGGTTGTTGTTGTTGTTGTTTTGTTTTTTTAAATGGCACATGTTTCTTCATTTCATATTTTGAAATGTAATCACCAGAGGGAACTTTGTATAAAACAGTTTAGGGAAGTGCAAAGTTTTAATGTTGCAATTCTGTCTTAACAACAGCACACCACATCATCTACAGGCCAAAGGAAAAGGGTGTCACACTAGAAGAATCTAATTTACCTTTTTGTGAATCTCACGGGAGGCTGGCCGTTTGTTGCGCTGGATAAGCTCCTCATATTGATCTTCCCCAGTAAAGGTCACCATGTTCTTCTCAAAGATGTAGCCTCTCTCTGGAGCGTCTCCAAAGTACTGCACGTGGTAGAGGAGGCCATACCTGGTAGTGAGGGCTATAATAAATAAAAGCAGACACACACAGGATTAATATTAGTATAAAAACAGAGCCTCTTAAAAAAAAGTGGTGGAGACTGTTTCTCACCTTTCTGTTTCTGTTTAATGTGAGTGTTGAAATCTGGGTCTGTGGTCACCATGCAAGGCCACCAGGGGTATCCTGACACTTTGGTCCACACCAAATCACAAATAGAAAACCGGATCAGCAGAGGGGATTCTTTTTTATCCTGCGGAAACTCTTCAATGAGTTCAAGCTGCAGAAGAGGAAAATAACAAACAATTAATCAATAAGAATAAAATAGAAACTAATCCAAGGTTCCATCACCTTTTCTCTCCTAAAAATAAATCAATAGTCTTTCCAAACAATTTTAGACACGTACATCAATATAAGTACTTTACAGTTTCCAGTATTTACTGGCAAACAGCAATATCTACAGTAGTGTATTAAGGTTTAAGGACATGTAGATGTAGACATGTATATCAATTTCCAACATTTTAAGATGAAGTTGTTTTTACTTCAGATTGAGCATCAATTTCCTCAAGGTATGTGGGCAAATATTTGAATGTCAACAGATTGAACAAATATTATTTCTCTCAGTCAAAATTCACTGTGAATTCAACTTTCAATGGGAGGCCTGGTACAGTTTGTACTAACATGTATTACTCTTTAAACCGGTATTAGCTAGGCGTATTGTGGTTTGTAAACATGCATGACAAACAGAAGTTCTTCCTTATTTCATTTTCGGTAGATATATATTGAGCTTCTACACCTTTATTGTGATTGTTATTATTACTACAGCCGCCAAAGTTAGACAGGAGAGGGGGGATTGAGAGGGGATGACATGAAGTAAATGGCTTAAAAGTAGGAATAAAAGCCAAACCTTTTCAGCTGATCCATCTACAGCCTTGGTGAGGTCAAGTGGCTCCACAGGGATAGCAGGTAGGTTTGGTTTGTGAGGTCCCCCCCTCCTTTTCTTTGAGTCCTGTCTCTTCTCAGGTCCTGATAAAGTACCTTCGGCGGCCGTGGCCAAACTGGTCCCATTGGCACAACATGGCTCAAACAGCGGCTGCTGTTCCTTGAGTTCATGTTCAGTATGAGGTGTGCAATTATGTTGATGGGTGCCATTCGTAGAAGGGGCTTCAGTGCCCTTAAGCATAGGTAGCTCTGGAGCACAAAGCTTAGGAAGCGTGTCTTGGTCGCCATTCAGCATAATGGAGGTGAGATCTTTGAGCCTCTCGTGGCTGTGGGTGATATGATTGTGGCCAGTCATCTTCTGAAGGCCATCCTGTAGTGTGGCGGCTAGCTGAGCAGCAGCTTTGTCCATTAGTAAAGCAGGGTCATTGCTCATGTCCCCCCCTCCTTTCCGAACACTGAGGGACTCTGGCGGCTGCTTCATGCTGATTGGGCTGGCAGGTTCTGGCATTGAAGGCAGGGAGCTACCTTTGCCGTCCATCCCATCCAACCCCCTCCAGGCTCACTACAAGGTAGGACAGAAAGTTCTTAGCACACAGACAACATACAAATATCATACAAATGTATGATTTTATTGGAACTCTTCATTCTGGCAATTTGTAAAATAGCATTCTGGGATACGAATCCTATGGGCATAACATTACATATTTTACAAAATGGCACTCACTTGCTCAAGCGGAGCATGAACAGAGAGCTTGGAGGCGATTGAGAAAACTGCACCTGTCACGGATTGTTCTAATCCTGTATTCTTCAATGTTTTAATAAGAAAGTGGACTCGTACCATGACCATATGTCAGAAACAACAATGCCTCTGTAAAGTAATGGCTCAATGAAATCCAGAGCTATTCGTTGATCACAACTATGATAATGTGAACGAGATCAAGTAATTATCGATTAGATCCATGCATACGAACAAAAAGCACAGTGCTGGCGGAAAGCCTCTTACCACGACAGTGTTTAACTTGGCTTTCTCCTGGGAAAGGTCTAGCTAGCGGCTAGCTGATGCACAGCGGTGTGAAGAATGCAGGAGGCTGGCTGCAGGCTCCACCGCATGCAGCGAATACCCAATGAGTGGGAGGCGAGCTGTGCTGCCGCCGTATCACCGGCTAGAAAAGCCGCGGAAATGGAAGCAGCTGACAAGTCGGAGTATTGCTAATGGGGTGCGAATAATTGATGGATTTCAATGTATCCCACATAAGTTAAAAAACGGGTTACATGGGGGTTCACGTTAGAGTGCATTGTTAATTAGCTGAACATTACGTCACTTGTAATGCAACGGCTGTGTACATTAACATTAACGCAAGCATTTTTAAGATTCTAACGTTAACTCACAAAAACATTACAGAGGCCAACGTGAAATATATGGAGCCAGCAGATGCACAGCACGTCATCCACAAAACAGGGCTTCGACTATAATCTGAAGAAGCAGCCACGATGTGGGAATCTCATGGATACCATCCATGGACAAGAGTTTTCCCGTACTGCACAACCGCATCTCTGTCATAGCTACAGTCAGCCATTACAACGCATTCCAGCAAATAGTCAAAGCCGCTTCCCCAAAAGCTAAACGCAGCCACTTATAAACTAACGTAGAAAAACAAATACGTGAATAACTAAACACAATGTTGTACGGCTGGACGTAGTGATTTTAAACTGTTTATCTATTATTTCCTTGGTGTACTCAATTTGCAGGCGCCATGACAGCTTGTTTCAAACAAGCTAACGGTTTTAGCCGAAGCTAACAAGCTTACAGTGAAATTGCCCTAGTGTTAGCACAGTCAGCTAGCATTCAAGCTAGCAGGTCCTCTCTTGCTAAAATGGATGGTCGGGGCGAACAAGTGTACACGCGAAAAACTAACGCCGGCTAATGTCTCCAGGGTTGACAATAACATGAAAGACAGTCTCTTTGTGATTACCTGTTGAATCTCCACTCGGTCGTTAAAGTGGATACATGTCCGTATTCATTCTGGAAAGCAGAGGGATTTCATTCAAGTCGAATCAAAAGCTTGCGGGAAACTCAAAATCTCCGGCCAACCAGCGCGAAAAATACTCACTTCCGATTGGTCGGAAGCAGAGAGAGGCTCCAACCAGTCCTTTCAAAAAACCCAACCGTAGGAAGTAGCTGCCTAACCCGGTGTCTCCATCTGTTTTTACATAATTTCACAACGTTTACATTATTATGTAATACTCAATACGATCACTGTATGTGTGTGTTTCTTACACCACTTATTCACTACTAACATGTGTCGTTAAAAGTATACATATATTATGTACTGCTTAATATCACTTTCTCCTACCATATCAGCATTAGGGTTTCAACAAAACAGTGTGAAATATGTAAAGTAAAATAAAAACATGTAATTAGTGCTTGTATGTTAAAGAATATTGCCACTTTATGACATATTTAAAATAGTTTTTTGAAAGGGAGGAGGCCTATCATTTTGATGGGTACTCATTTAGTAAAAAGTTTCATAATAACAAAAATTCAAAAAACTAAAAACAAATTGCAAATGAGATAACATATTGAATTTGCAATATAGTGGTCAATAGTTTCTAATCCTGTTTTTCTAATCCTGCTATTTGATTTTGATGGACATAAGGAAGAAGTCTTTACATTCAGCCCACTTATCTTATGTCTTATGTGATGCAATTTATCGTAAGCTTTTATAAGGGAAAAGTTGCTACTATAAATCACTAACCATGTTCATGCAGTCTCTGTATACCAAGGTCGTGGTCTGGTAAGCTATATATTCGAATAGTGGATTCCTTAGGGTTAATTCATTAGGAGTGGATTGCAGTCTTCTAGGATATGCTGTTCCTTGTCTTAATTAAATAACCGGAGGCCAAACGTTAATTGAGGACCTATAATTACATGTTGATCTAAATTCCTCTTCCTGGTAACGACCTTGTCATGGCAGAGCACAGATTCACATGCTTCCCTGCTTCTCTTAAATAATGTAAAGTAAGTGCAAGCTGCAGCACCAACAGGGGAAACTGAGGGGCGTGAAACTAAATAAAATAATACAGACCACATCCGGAAACCTTTGCCTTTCAAAATAAAAGACACCATTCTTGATGGAGTATTCCAACAATGAATGACATCGGATGAGAGATGACTTGAGCATGTGGACATCTCATCACATAGATATATTTAACGGTAACTTTCACACAAAATAAGAAGTCCAAAAAAAATGATGTTGGTTGCTCCAATTTATTTTTTATCTCGATGATTGTGCTCTGTGGGAGCTTACTGTTTTTGATTATTAGGGCCAATGTTGGGTTGATGTTAAACAAAGCAGAGGACAAAGGTGTAAGGCCAGGTTGTGTTAAGGTAAAAAAGGGGAAACACAAATAAATTGGGAAACTATTTCTAACACAATGTCTGCATGCTACAAAATGTAATAGTCTGTTCATGAAGAACTCAGGATGTGGTTCCTTTTACCCATGCAACTTAAAATGGTTGATTACTGGGATTCTCCTATATAGCCAGTCATTTTTTAAGGACTTTTCTGTGTTATTGCTGGTCCTTGATTTGTATTTATTCTTATTTTATTTCAATTCATATGTCTCAATATTCGTATCATAATTTATCCAAAGTAAAGCCAATGTATCATATGTTGTGTTTTGTGAATTGTTTGTGTTTTAAATCTTTTACATTTGTTTCCCCATTGTGTTTTTTGCAGCTTCTTATTTCAGGTATTTTAAATGCCCGTCCACAAGACACGACAACCTATGTGTAAGTAGCTTACACATAGGCCTACTGTGGTTAGCTTGCCTGTTGTTTTGTTGTGACCATTTTGAGTGTCCTTGTGGTTGTTACATGTCTGTTTTAGTAACATTGTGTAGGTTAAGGGCAGGCCAAGAGGCCCTTGACACCTTTGTCCCGGAAAGTGTCCAACACGGAAACACATGCTTTTATTTTATAAACAAACCGGAAGTCTTTCATAACCTCAAGCTGCTTAACAATAACCCCAGTTTGACGTCAGTCGGGAGCCGGGTTCGGTTAGCTGTCATCTGCGTAGAAGGGAAGGGCATGACATGGACCGACATTTTCCGGTGTACAGTTATACATGCGTAGTAGCTTGTTGAAAGCAAACAAGTATTTTTTGGGGTGTTATTTCTTTATGTGACAAAGTTAGCGGTTTATTTCGTATTGACTACGCACTGGCTAGCTAGCAGGCTAACTAGCTCTTAACTTACTGTAACTGTTTAAAGGAGTTCAAACAGAAAGCCTCCGCATGGCGTTAATCCTGTTGACGAGGTCCCGGGCACCTTTAATGAAAACATCCAGGTCGTTAAAGAACGAATTCAGGAAAAGTAAAGGTAAGACTTGATTATGATAATTTGTTATGCTGCTTTTTAAGTTACTAAGTGTTAATAATGACTGGTATGGAGGCGAGCTAAAGCTAACAAAAACGTAGCATCCAGAGGAGTCATGTCGCGTTTATTTACAGGCTGGGTTTTCAGGAAGATGGTGGATTACTCAAGGTGATTGAATAACTGGGCATCACATTTAAATCGCCTCTAATTCAAAATGTAAAGATATACATCCGTTACTATTCTGCTTAAAGGCTCTATTGCACGTAAAGCTTTTGTGTTATCAAATTGTCGCCTGACTGAACCGCACCTTTTCTGATATCCCATCAGTAAGGAGTCAAAACATGATGGGGGATTCAGGTTATATGAGGACAACCCTGCTTTAGCTGTTTAGCGCCCCCTCTTTCTACTGCAGTCTGTGAGGATGCTCCGTGTTATGGCAGGCAGGATCCTGTCTGTTTATCCAGCATCCACAAGAAACCTGTTTATTATGACTATAGAGACGAAATAAAGCCAGTAATTAACAAGTATCATGATCAGTCCTGTATGCAGGAGCCTTGGGTTGGCCATGTTTGTGCTTTTGGGAAGATGGTGGATGCCTCAAGGTGACAGGATAACCAAGCATCATATTTTAAACCACCTGTCATTTATTATGGTTTCTACTTTGCATGAAGGTTATATTGCATAAGGTTTAGGTTTGTCAGTTTGCGAGGCTCTGCAGTTTGCACCCATTCTGATCAATAAGGAGCAAAACACGATTTGGGATGCAGGTTATCTGAGGACAACCTGGCGTCTGTTATTGCTGCAGAGCGCCCCCTCCTCTCCACTGCAGCCTGTGAGGATGCTTGTTGTTAGTGCAGGCAGGTCCCCCTTTAAAATCAGCATTCACAAGATACCCGAATATCAAAGCGAGATGTTTTTGTTGGATATAAAACGAATGACACTATTTTTTGTGCCGATTTTGTGATCCTGTAGCACAGTTTATCTAGGTTGTATTACTATTGTTTATGTTTGGACAAGCATGGGAAATGTTGAGCCACAAGAAGGTTAAATGAAGCAAATGCAGAGCCCTGTGAGGATGTTGTGCATTTTCAAACATGTGACTTATTTATTTGAATACACAGAATATGTCTCACCATTTTAATTATGCAATAAGATATCATGGGTTAGGTTTTTTAGGGGTGTTATTCTATGCATATGTGCACAATAAATGAATCTCATACAAAGAGAAAGGATGCTTTGTACCAGATTTGGCTTCTAGCTACTTTATACCTGCAGTCCCTGGGCAGGAGGACACAAACACTTTGCAGGTATCTTTGTGCTACCTTTACAGTGTAATCCAAGCTTTTAGTATTTAATAAATTGTCTCTGGGTGTATGAAAGTATAGTGGAAAATTCTGCAAATCATTGAGCAATCATTTTTGATCAACAAACACAGTTATTTGTCACATATTTAACACATTAGACTAAACATGCATTCCTGGTTTCTCAATTCATTTCCAAGAAAATGACAGGGTCACAATATACTGTATGGCAATATATGTTTTTTTTTGTATGATCTTAAACTGGGCAGTAGTCAAAGTAAATGTGGCTGCAGACCAACTCAGTAATTTCCTATCACAAATGTTTTGATAATGTTCGCATGTTAGCCGTTGTATAACCGGATATTAAGGTCGTATATTTCCCTGCACCTTTTGTGTTAAATACAATGTGTAACGTGTATCACAGTTGTCAGGAAGAAGATATTAGAGGTCAAAGCTACGGAAGAAATAGTTCTCGAGTAGTGTGATTTCATGTCTCTTAGTTGGTGCATTAAAGCTTTGCTTATAAATAGATGAGTAGGTCATAAAGGGAATTTGTCTGTCTGCACTGGCCTGACTGAGGCTGAGCACTTGGCTTTGGGCCCAGAGTATCAGACGAATTGTGGTGCTTTCACAAGGAAAGGTCAGTGCCTCTCCTAAATCCGCCTGAGACAGGCTGAGCGTAGTTTCCCCTTTCTTTACGTCTCTTCCGCTGACAGGAGAGCTTAATTACATGCAGCTAGTGTGGAGGACACTACTATATTCTGGTACAATAATAATAACCAGCCAATAAAGAGTCAGCATTTAGTTCCATAATAATAGTGACCAATGGGCTACATTAACTCTTGAACATTGACCAGCTTGCAGTTTTTGCAGATTGGATTTGAAGCAGTCATCAAACTAAGGTTGCAAGGTCAGAAGTAGTAAAGGTTATGGCATTATCTAACACAGTGTAAATAAACTACAGGAGAAATGATAAGGTTTTCGTTGTAATAAAGTGATGGTAAACATGCACTGTTGTAAGTGTCCTATTAGTTATTGTTTCAAGGTGCCATCTGCTACAATATGAAACAGTGTATATATTTTTGATTAACTTATTCTATGCTTGTTTAAAGCCCTGTTTACACGCATTTAGCATTTCTATTTGAAAATGTATATTTTGGTCGTCTGTTCACTTATTGTCAGTGTGACCGAGAGCGTTGTCCAAGGGGAAATAATGACCCAGAAACGTCATATTTGATGGACAGTGTGACAGAAGAAGATACTTGACATTTGAGAGCCACTAAAGCCACATAGACAGAAAGTCTTGCATATCAAAACGCACCGCAGTCTGGACGTTGGCTTAGCAACATACTGTCCAGTTAACAACTTTATTTTTAGTTTATGGTTTGTTTTTAAGTTGCCAGTGTGTAAACTATATTACTATGTTAATAGTAGCTATGTAAAATATATATAATCAATGTCAATTAAGCTCATAATGGCCCTGGATTTAGAGCACAATGCAAGGAATCATCTTTGGTGGGAGCAATCCTATGAATTGCATAAGATCCAATCTGAGATGTTAAAAGACCCTGTATGGATCGTTTTTGTGCAACACGTCATTATATTTGTTGAAATGGGTGAGAACCAAAGTATCAACTTGTGAGTTGAGCTGGCTCCAGGGTGCACACAAACACATGAAGTGATTTAACACAAAACAGACTCACAGCTTCAGGCTGCGGGTCAAACATCAAGCAGCGATCGCATGTAACGTCAAGCAGGCGTAGCAGGGCATGACTGGGTCATGACCTTTCAAGGCTAGACCCTGTTTAAAAACAAAAATGGGTCAAAACCGAAGACCATTGTTATCATAATCCTACCCAACACCAATTAATACAGAATACTCTTCTGTTAGGGCTGCTCGATTATGGCAAAAATCATAATCTCGATTATTTGGGTCAATAATTGATATCACGATTATTAAAAACGATTATCCATTTACTTTGAAAACATGAATTTATTGAGAAAAGAAAATGTGAACAATATGTTTTTAACAGTTGATTACCCTGAACTGTAAGTATAATTCAACTGAAAAACCAATAATAACATTTTTATACATTTAAAAAAGAAATAAAGAAATAAAAAAAGTATCGTTTTATTTCGATTATGTTGTTTTCATAATCGTTGCAAGCCAAAATCGTAATTGCGATTAAAATACGATTAATTGAGCAGCCCTATCTTCTGTAGAAATATTACATCTGAGATGTGCAGATAAATAAATAAGATAGTAGTGCTTTGATTTGAAATCAAATGTTGCTCCCATGCTAAAGAAGTTTATTCTGATTTGATTTTCTGTGGTCATTAGAGAAAAAACACTAGAATCATTTTCAGTTTTACTTTACTAGAATATGGTTAAAGTTTGTGTCATAATCTCTTCTTTATTCTGCAAGTTTGTGTCTACACAGTAAGACATGAATGATTGCCAGAGAAACAGAGAATTCAATTGCATAAGTGAAGTTAACTTTGAAATAAATCTCCAGAATTGTAATTTCTCCACTCTGTATAAACATGCGTCTCACGTTGTTGTTGCTCCTTCTGGAGTTTCTATAATTTTTTCCATTAAAGGCATTTTAGGGAGAATATTCATTAACTGAAGCAAGGGCCTAACAATAAAGGGTGTTATATACACTAGTGCTTTATTTTATGTTATATGGTGACAATCCATGATAATTGGTTAAATAATTAAAAACCAAACCTTAACCCTATTTTAAAATTCACACAAGGTTTAGTATTGCCCCCATGGAATATTAAAGGTGGGGTGGGTAAGTTTGAGAAACCGGCTCGAGATACACTTTTTGTTATATTCCATGGAATGCTCTTAACATCCCAATAGCAATGAATATCTTAAGTGCTTTGACAATAAATCCATTAAAAAATGTCATCTGTGGAAGCCGTAGTACTGTAAAAAGCACGACCAATCATTTTAGCTGGCCCTGCTAAAATAACTGGATGGCCTACCTGCCTGTCAGCCTTCCATCTGTGCACAAACTTATCTCGTGCCCTCATTGGTCATGTGCGCGTTCGTGTGTGTTGGAGGAGGGGCTCTGTAAGGAAGTGGCAGATTTTTTCCGGTTGTGTATTTTCTAATTCTAGCACACTCGAGCTGGTTTCTCCAAAATTACCTACCCCACCTTTAAGTACTCCTTTTTTAAGATATAAGGTCCTCTTAATGGTTGTCAATGTGTTAAAGCAACACATCAACTAGCAGGAACACAGCTAGTATAGTGGTATTACCATAGACTGTATATATAAAGGGTATTACCTAGTGCCATACATCTGTACACTTGTTAAAATAAACATATTTTCGTGTAGCTCTAAAGTGTATCCATTTTGAATTATGATAGTTGTGCAACCAGAATTACAAAGTGAAAGTGAAAAGTGAAATATCTTTGACTAAATGTGAAAGCAAAACTGTAAACCCCCCAAGAGGATCAAACCCAGAGGCTGAGGTTATACTGCTTGACCTGCTACAGGGTTAGCTAATCTACTGTATTTCTAGCCTTTTCTTTCTTTACTACATGAGGCGGCCGCTCAGCCACAAAGGTGACACTGTTCCAGTAAACTCTGTCCTGCTGGCTGCCGGCCACCGCCTGACATGTTCAACCAGGCCTCCCTGGATCCACTGCAGTGGGCCATGTGAGCGCAGGAGGGAGGGCGTGGTTAGGCCATGTGCTCTGACCTGATTGGTTGAAAGTGTCTCACTATACCGCCTCCTCTCTGCATGTACATCAAACTGAAGGGGGCCTCAGGGGTTTGGGAGCCCTGTTGGCCTCCCAGGGTCAGGGTGGCCTCCAAGACAGATCAGTGTAAAGACAATAACAGAAGAATGTAGCACCTCATTTGTGTGGAAGAGGTATTTGCAGATACATTAAGTAAAATAAAGATATTTATTAATATCAATTAATATTACTAATGCATTAATGTGTACGCTGTGTTTTTGTTTGTAGATGTATTACATTATGCAAATGTTAACTCCTTAGGCGCTTTCACACCGGAGTACTTTTCCCAGGAATAGTTCCGATATTTCTTGGGATTTTGCGTTCACACCAAAAAGATCTGGAACTAGAACTTAGTTCGCTCTAACCTTTTCACCCCCAGATAGTTCCTGCTAGAGAGCAGGGACTTTCCTGGGGAGAAAATGGTTCGTGGGTGTGTCGGCCACACTAACAATTTCTGATTGGCTGTGCGAATTGCAAACCACGCCCCGTAAAACTCAGAAAAGTTTTGTGAAGCCGCCATTTTATTTGTTCACATTAGCATTATTAGCATTAGCCCAGCGCACCAACGGAGAGAGACTAACTTATGGCAACACAAAATAAAACGGTGGAGCGGTGGAGTGATGAGGAGGTGTCGGCGCTTCTGGCGATTTACCCAGGACTTCGGGTGGCGATTTACGCCGTGAAGTTGTTTGTGGCCTGCCAGTAAACCCAAAGCAGAAGAAGAAGAAGTGACTTCATTTGCGTAATCCTCCCTCAGGGACTTATTCCGGTGTGAACGCGATCTACTCTTTAGTTCCAGGAACTAAAGAGTTCGGGGGAACTAAGTGCCGCAAAGTACTTGGTGTGAAAGCGGCTCTTGTATCTGTTGAGTAGTTTATTATACAGCATGGCATCATATTCCATAGGATCATTATAGGTACTAAAAAGTACCTCAATATTGCAGTACAGAAGTACCTGCTTAAATTCTATTGCTACAATTAGTAAAGCCTGAATGAAGATGGCAGCAGACTGTAGGTATACATTATTAGATACACTATCACTAAAGGCATCAGGAGGGACTTCACGTTATATGATGTTATTGCATAAACAGTTACAAGTGCTGCTTTGTGGTTTTGCTCAAGTCATTTCTGGGTCAGAGAAAAAGTAGCATTAAAGTATCAGACCGGTTAAAACCTGAATAAAGCTGCTGAAATCCCTCAGTTTTCTCTATGTATGTTTTCATGTCCCTCTCTGTCTAATGACTGATTTTCAGAAGATAGCTGCTCATGTTGTTTTTCTCCTCCTTTCAGGGAAAGTACAAGATGGTGCCTGTTTCAACTCCACAGCGCTCAGACTCTCCAGTCAAAAGTAAGCCAATTAAATGCTACAGTTTCTATATGTCCCGCACACATCTGAGAGAAGCTTATATTGGCCTAATTTGAAACCCAAGAATTTAAAAGGTCTTCCGTGCGGTATAATATTACGTTTTGAGATTTGCACTCAGTTTCAAAGGACTTTAAAGCTTTTGCGGTTTCTTGGATTTTGCTATTATGTAAAAAGAAAAAAGCCCCTTTTCAAGCCTGGTTCAAATTCTTGCAGATAAGTGACCCATGTTAAATCTTAAATCTTAAACTTCAAAGTCATCTTTTGAGGTGTTGTTTTTTGCTTATTTAGTCTAGTATACCTTTACTGTACTTTTCCGAACCTCATTTTAAAAGATTGCAAACTAGGCCAATTTCACAAGAAGTGTTTACCAGAATTTTGAAATCATCAACATATTCACAATATGTTCATGTTGTGAAAAACTTTAATTCCTATTCATTTTGAAAATGTTGTTCCAATAGGCTATTAAACTGACTGATATTGTATTCTATATATACAGTCTATGATTCTAATACATTTGATCTCATAATTCTTTAAGACTTAGCATGTCTTTGTTCTAATGCTCTTTATCTTGGTGTATTCTTAGACTTGATGGGCTCCGGCTGGGCAGTTTGGCCCAGGCCTCTCCCTCTGGCCCTTCCCTCCTCCTGTCAGATGGGTATGTGGGCTCCAGCCAGAGCCCGGACTCCCAGCGCCTCCACTGTGCTTTTATGTTGGGGGCCTCCTCTTCAGGGTACCCCGCCATCACAACAGGGCCCCAGTGGACGTTAGCCCGACCACAGGACATCCGAGGTGTGAGGTGGATACACACCTCCAGGAGGAGATGGGATGACTCCAAGGTGGAGAAGTCCCTGCGTATATTAAAGGACAAGAAAAAGACGATGGAGGAAGGCGGGCCGGTGTACAGACCCATGCAGGATTCAGAGCGCGTGAGGAGGTCCGTCCGACAGTGGATTGTTGACGAAGTCAAACACTACTACCACGGCTTCAGGCTGCTGTGGATCGACACCACCATCGCTGGGCGCATGCTGTGGCAGGTGCTGAACGGACACCCGCTGTCCCGCCGAGAGAGGAGACAGGTGAGGCCTGCAGGGGGAATATCCTGTATGAAAGGTTCCTCTGGGGGACATATCTGTTAGAATTATGCTTTCATTAAATGTGTTTATTTAAAGGGACATGCTTTTTTAGTAATGCGACCCCTCACATTCACACATCTATTAACATTGTTCCACATTTGGCTTGTAAACAGCTCTACTGGAATATTGGGTTTTCAGTTATTCTTTATTCGGTTCCTTGTACTGAAAGCTGACGTTCCAAAAATAAATGCATTAAAGTGTAGTTATTTTTTGCTAAAAGGTCAGAATCAGAATCAGTTTGCAGGTCTCCCTTGAAAAAGAGATCTATGATCTCAAGGGACCAATCTGGTTAAATAAAGGTTTGAAATGAAAAAAAGGTAATCGTAAAGGTAAAAGTTACGACCACAGTTAGCTACAGTCGGAGCAGCCCTAAAGTATGAGGTACAGTAGGTGTATTTTAACACCATATATCTTCCTTCCTTACAGTCTTGATGCAGCATTAACTGGTAAACCCCTCCCTTGAAGAGCATTACAATGATCCAAGCTTAGCAACTAGCTCAGCTCAGCACAGCATGTATGGATGTATGGTGTCTTTTTGCTTGAAAGATGCAGCTTTAGCCTTAGTCTTTTAAGATTGTATTATGTATGTCATCAAGTGGATATGTTTGAGTCTCCAACATGATTCTCTTTTTCCAATGAGTCAGCTGGAAAACATTAAAAAGACCACAAAACATGTCTCTTTCAAACATTTCATGTGGCTAACTTTAGCTGAAACAGCTAGCTAGCTAGAGCTGCCAAAACCTGTTGACATGTTAGTCTGCAAATTGCTAGTTGCTGTTGAATCAAGGATGGTTGCAATTGTAAACAGCATTATGTGCTGTGTGGTACAAGGAAAGCTTGACAGAAGTAATGAAACTTATCAGGCAGGGCTTAGCAAACATACATTACTGGTAACATGTGACCACGTCTGGTAAGTAAATGAATTCTGTCAGATATTTGAACAGAAACAAAGTATGAATCAATCAGCCATTGTTTCCAATGAAGCATTTTTTCCAGTCAGAGTTTACAGAGTGGATTAGCAGCATGAGTTTAAAGACCAGAGATGACTGAGCACGGTTTAAGTCCGACAGCCCAGACATCTTGTTCTGTACGGTTTAATCCATAGCTTCTCAAACCTAATGGGATCAATTAAAGAAATTGGCTACAGTGTGAGTGTTTACTAACCAGGCGCTCAGCAGATTGTGCTGTGTGGTTAAAGCTCTTTAGGAAGAGGCTTTATCTTTGAAAATAAAACTCATTTAACTTTAGCTTCACACAAAGCGTACATTAGCCAAAGTTTCCAAGCATTGTTTCGGTGGTTGATGCTTCCCAAACAGCATTCCTTGAAGTAAACAGTAGTACATATTTGCACAAAAGGAAAACCGCTATTTGATGAAATCTTGTTAAAGTGCGACTTTATTTTGAACTTAAAATTCTTCATTATTTTACCTCCTTTGCAAGTTGTAAAGGAATACAAATGTTTAAAGGACATATTCTTTGCCGTGACCTGCCTCTTGTTTTGAATCGGCCTGCAGTCAGGGAAGTTGTCTGTATTGATCCCAGTGTTACTGCAGTACTCTGATGCAGGTGCGGGCACTCAGGTGTTATTTCAGGCAAGATGAGCAGGTCAGATCAGGTGACACTACTTTTATAAGACAGGATGCTACAGACTTAGTGGACCCACTTGGCAAGTTGTGAGTGTGGCTGCTCTTTAAAAGGCCTCTGCTGCTAATGCTGTTTAACTAGATATATCACTTTAAAATAATGTTTGACTGATAAAAACTTTTCTTGAACATTCGAAAATGTACAGCGAAGTATTAACAGTTGGGCTGGTGAATGTATCCTGCCATGAAAATCACACTTTACTAAAAAGCCTTAAGAGAGTTTTTCTTTACAAGGATAATAATTAAATACTTGCTATAATAAGTTCATAGCAGGAGCATATACAGGAATGTACAGGTGTTTTTCTTCCAGACATGGCTGCAGAGGCGTGTTTACAATGCAGTTTCACAAGTTATACTGACACAAAGATAATGGGACCCCTCGTGCTTTGCAAAGCGATGGTGCAACAGTACAAAGCAGAGCTGAAATACGCCTGGTCCCTACAGTGACTCTTTGCTGCAGATGACAACAGTTTCCCCCCCCCCATTAAACCTCCCCCACCCCCCCATCTGCACCTTTTCAAATGCAGCTGACTCCCTCGGAGTCCATCTCCACCCCATTCATCCAACCTGCACCGCCATCGCCTACTTAATCTCCTCCTTTCATATTCCATTTAAGGCTTCTTCTATTTTAATCTGTTACCCCCCCTGCTCCCTCCTTTTGATGTGGAACTCTGGGAGATGATATACATGTCAATGGGCAAGCAGACAAAGGCCTTTTCACTCAGGCCGGCCTAAACCCTTCACCCTACTGGTCCGCTGACATGCAGGAGGAGAAAAAGGGACTTGTGTTTTGGCCTTCTCTACTCCCTTTTCTCTAAGATGGTTGGTTGAGATTGTGTCTCTGGACGGTCAGTAAGCCACAGTTGGATAGCAGAACAATAAAGTAGACTAGCGTTAGCCTGGTACTTCTATACTCTGAGGATTGTTCAGGGTTGTGCTTCACAAATGTGTCCTCACAAGGGGACAGTTCCTGAGCCTTGTGAGGCAGAATGTTCACTTTGGTCTATAGAAAATGACGCAGCATTGAATTAGGAGGTTTCTGTTGCCCTGGGGATGTATGGGGGTTAAAAAAGTGCTGAGTGTAGAAACTAGAGGGATTGAGCAGGGTGATTGTACCAGGAGACAAAGGAAGAAAAAACATTTTCACATATTTAGCCTGTCCCCTCACTGCTGCTCCCTGCTGGAGGCCTGCTCAAACTAAAGCATGCTGGGAATGAATGGTGCTTCAATGTAAAGCAATATTTATCAATGAAAACCAACACAACACAAGCAGACACTGGTTTAGATTGTAATATAATGTGAATACAAGTGCACATGGGTATCAGATTGTGAATACCACACAGTAAACACACACCTGTTTATTCCATATATCCACATAGTCAAATTGTACAGTACAGTCTTTTTTTCTACTCTCCACTTTTATCTTATTCTAATTTATATGAATACATTTGAACTATTCCTGTCAATTTACTCACTGTTTAATTGCATTTATTTGTATTTCTTTCTTTCTTTTCATTGGAGGTTGCCTTAAGATTTCATTGCCAACAAAGTTGTAGCTGTTGTGTGTATGATAATAAGCATTTTAATATTTGAAACCAGTCTCATTTTAAATAATTTCCTTAATGTAAAGGCAAGGCAAGGCAAGTGTATTTATATAGCACCTTTCAGCACACGGCAATTCAAAGTGCTTTACAAAATACAATAAAAGACATTTAAGAAGAAATACAGCAGAAACACATTATAAAATGGCATTTAAAAACAGGCATTAAAAAGCAACAGGTATAGAATACATGAATAAAAGCCGTACTGCAGTGTGGATATGAAGATAGTTCCTTCTAATTTGAGTTTTTCCAATGTTTTCTCCCCAGTTCCTCAGAACATGTGCCGACGTCTTCAGGCTGGTGCCCTTCCTGGTGTTCATCATCGTCCCCTTCATGGAGTTCCTGCTTCCTGTAGCTCTGAAACTCTTCCCCAACATGCTGCCGTCCACCTTCGAGACAAAGTCAAAGAAGGTAATCATACTTTTCATTTTGAATAAATCTGTATGTGTTTCAGATCTTCATTGTATTCCAATTATGGCTGAGACAAAATAGCATCAAAGACCGCAACTAACAATACTTTTTATAATCAAATCATCAGCTATGGAGTGTATGTCATTGTTTTGCGATGGATTTTTTTTTAATATGGCAGTCCATTGAGAACACGTTGACATTTGAATGATTAAAAACAATCCTCCTTCGTTTGAATCCTGAACTTTCACCCAGGATGCTGATGAGGTAATCTGGCTCTTTGTGTTTACTCATCCCAACAGAGGTTAATCCTAATTACAGTCTGATCCACAGCACAGGATCCATCACCTACTTTTCTATATAGTTCACATTTGGCAATGCTCAGAATAAGGCAATGTACATTTCCTGTTTCCATGTTTTTACAAATTCTAAATACTAATATATTTATCATATTTCTTTTGTTTCTCAACCAAAATGCACAACTATTGGAGAACTTTTTTTCCCCTGGTATTATTGTTGTATAAATGGTTGATAAATTAGCAATTTCTTCTGTCAGATTTACCTCCCGTATAATTTAAAACAATACTTGCAAGACTATTACTGACAAGAGCTTAAAGATATTTCTTTCATTCTATGGCACTCTTATCATATAACAATTTTGGCAACACCATGTTCAACAAAATGTGTTTTTTGAAGAATGGGGAGTTTGATTTGAGAGCACATTGAATTTATTTTTCAGGAGGAGAGGTTAAAAACGGAGCTGAGAGTCAAACTGGAGATGGCCAAGTTCTTGCAGGACACCATCGAGGAGATCGCTCTGAGAAACAAAGCGGACCAGGGCAACGTGACGGAGGAGTTCTCCACATTCTTCCAGAAGGTTGGTGTTGGTGTTTACTGAGGCAGAACATTAGGAAAAGCAGACTCAGTACCGCCCTCTGGTGGTGGAAACATTGGTGCCATGTATGTCTGTTGCACTTCAAGGTGGGGTAGGTAATTCACTTCAGAAACACTTTTTGTTATATTCCATGGAATGCTCTTAACATCCCGATAGCAACGAATATATTAAATGCTTTGACAATAAATACATAAAAAAATGTCATCTGTGGAAGCCGCAGCGCTGTAAAAAGCACGACCAATCATCTGAGCCAGGCCGGCTAAAACAACTGGATGGCCTACCTGCCTGTCAGCCTTCCATCTGTGCACAAACTTATCTCGTGCCCTCATTGGTCATGTGCGCGTTTGTGTGTGTTGGAGGAGGGGCTCTGTAAGGAAGTCTGAAGGAAGTGGCAGATTTTTTCCGGTTGTGTATTTTCAAATTCTAGTGCACTCGAGCTGGTTTCTCCAAAATTACATACCCCACCTTTAAGTAAAGCAGTTAAAACCTCATAAATGCAGCAATTTTCCTAAAAACTTTAGCATTCAGACTTCTCTCATTCACAACTTTTTACAATTCATATCTTTATCATGTCTGTAGATACGGAACTCCGGGGAGCGACCCAGTAATGAGCAGATCATCAAATTCTCCAAACTGTTTGAGGACGAGCTGACTCTGGACAACCTGACCCGGCCTCAGCTGGTGGCTCTCTGCCGGCTCCTGGAGCTCCAGTCCATCGGGACCAACAACTTCCTGCGCTTCCAGCTCATCATGAAGCTCAGGGCCATCCGTGCCGATGACAAGGTATGAAACTCAAAATCAACTTGTTTCCACTTTTTACGTTCAAGGGAAATCAGAAATTGGTCAGATGTTATAGGTAGAGCACTTCTGTAGTTACATATTTTAAGAAGACATTTGATGATTTTAATGTCTGTGTGATCTGTGTTTCTCCAGCTGATAGCAGAAGAAGGGGTGGAGAGTCTGAACGTGAACGAGGTGCAGACGGCCTGTCGCGTCAGAGGGATGAGATCTCTCGGAGTCACAGAGGAACGACTGAGAGAGCAACTCGTCCAGGTAACATCAGCAAAAAGAGATAAAGGAGATTTCATATGCAGGGGAACATATGAAACCTCTTTCTATTCATTCCCTCACAGATTCTTTTTAGACTCAAACAATATGAATATGAGTTTAAGTATCTGTTAAATGGTCTCACTGTTCTCACTCACTGTTACATTTGGCTCCTGTAGTGGTTGGAGCTGCATCTGAAGCAGCAGATCCCCACCTCCCTGCTGCTGCTGTCCCGAGCCATGTTCCTCCCCGACACCCTGTCCCCCGCCGACCAGCTGAAGACCACCCTGCAGACGCTGCCCGAAGTGGTGGTACGTTCATATGCTTAGTCTTGTTTACCATAGCAAAATCCACTTTCTCGAAAAGGGCATTGATACTGTTCATATTATATACTGAGAATAATTGGCTTGCAAAATCAGTAGGTAGTAAAAAAAGCTGTTAATATTCTCAGCTGCACCAAAGGCACCTTAGGTTTAGCTTGTGGTTTAAAAAAAATATACAAAAATAAATCTTTGTAATGGAAAGAATAACCTTCTCTATGAGACTTCAGGAACTTAAGTTTGAGGAAATTTGGGGAAAATGGAAAATGTAGATTACCCTGATACGCCCTTCTTTTGTTTAACTGTTTGAATATTTTATTTAATGATCTATCTATACTGTCAATGTTTTATATTGAAAAGAAAACACCCCATGTTCTTGTGTGCTTATTGTTGTTGTTTTGTTAAGAAAAATAATAAAGACGGACCACTCTGTAAAACTATTTAACTACATATGTAGACTGAAGTTGAAATGTGATCCAAAACAAAAATAAAAATGTTAAAAAATTAATGAAATATATATTAAAAAAATGTATCTTTTCACTCAACTCTATCCTACGCTGTCCTCTCCAGACTAAGGAGGCCCAGTCGATGATGGCAGAGATGGAGCGCTCCAAAGTGGACAATAAGGCGAAGCTGGAGAGGACGCTGCAGGAGGAGGTGGCCATACGCCAGGACAACAATGACCGCAAGAACGAGAGGCTGGCCGACGCTGCAGAGAAGGCTGCCAGGGTAACTACTCATTCATCATCTTTTATCTCGATCTTCCAAGAAAATAATTGAGTTACTTAGACACAAACATGTCATTCAAAATGTTTTGATAAAGGTCTCAACATGAACATGTCGTTTCCTGGTTGCTACGTGTGGTCTGCGAGACACCGCGGAACTCAGCCTGAGCACACACACACACTCACAGCCAGGCTGTTCGCCACACAGTTCGCCACACACTCACAGCCTGAGAAAAGATAAGGCTGAGTGAGTGTGTGTGCCGGCGAAACTCCGCGGAGTAGCGCGGCTGAGAAAAGATAAGGCTGAGTGAGTGTGTGTGTGTGTGTGTGAGGAGCTCCATGGATTGGTCCATATGGTCGGCGTTACGTCACTGTGACCAGGAAGAAAAAAATGGAAAAAGAAAAATGTCCAACGAGGCGTTCTGGGGCAGCATAGACACGTCTTTTCTGTGTTAGAGTTTTACTCGCTACAGGGTGTACTTTGAGGGTGTGTGACTTTGCAGACCGTTTACATGCATACAAAGCTACATAACACACAAGGGGACGGGTAATAACCGGAAAAGCATGACATGGGACCTTTAAAATACATAAAACTTCACTTATAAAATGTATGGTGAGGTAATAATAAAATCAAAGCTTTCAGTGCCAAGTTTTGGAAATTGAGAGGTTTTTCTTACACGTTTTGGTCATTACTTAGTTGTTTTACTTAGTTGTTTTACTTAGTTGTTTGTTAAACAATATTTTTATTGAAGTTTTCAAATATAACAAACATTACACATACATAAAACGGTGAGTCTTAGTGGCAGATACAGTGTACTATCAAATGAATAGGCATGTAAATAAGCACAGGTCAGTAGACAGATGATGGATATACATGGATAACAAAGTACAGAAATCTGAAAGAATATGACGTGGGCTACTACACTTTATAATCTTATTGGTCATTACTTAGTTATTGTTATTTTGGAACGATACCCAGCCATATACACCTGTCCCCATGCCAGCTAATTAAGTGTGAAAACTTTAGCTACATTTACGAGGAGCCATGTGTATGTTATCCTACAGATTATAAAACGGACATCTTTGACTTTTATTAGTTTATTTGTAATAATAATTTACGCCATCACTGTCCTACAGGAGGTTGAGTTGGAGATGGAGGCGGAGCCGGTTCAAGCTGACAAGGCGGAGACACTGAGGGACACGGCGCCGGTCATAGAACCAGTCAAGGTAACGTCTCCCAACATGCCGTCTGTGAGATCTGTAAAACATTTTGAACGGCTTGCAGGCTTTCAATTTAGTTTGCACTAAGTTGAAATTCGGACATGGAGATTTCTTGGTTCTACATACATTTCAATTTACCATTTTAAAGAAAACAAACTCTCTGAAACTGTGCTTAGCATATCAGATATTTCACAATATTGTATATGTATTTGCATTTAAATGAATGAATGTATCATGTTAATACTAACCTAAGTTTGATCATTTGTGAGGACCCAGTTTCTGTTTGTTATTTACTGATTATTACGCAGACTGTATGTTATTTGTCTCTGACCTGTTGCCACTCTTTCACCGGCGTCTTCTGTACCACACAGTACGAACAGTGGCAGACATTCCTGCGCTACCAGGTTAGGTTTAATGATGTCTCCTCCCAAGTGCCCTTCCTCACATCTATACCAGTTTATCCCTGCACTCACAGTCTCTGGTCTCTTTCTGAGCGGACCCAGATGTGGGTTTAACAGTTTTTGCAAACAATTCTGGCATTTTCCAAAACGATTTCAGCCTGCAATGTTACCTCAGGTTCAGTATGAGTAAGAACATAATCCAAATTACTGGAAATAACCTGAAATGCTCATATTTAGCTCTGCTGGGATAGGAAGCAGACAAGGTCAATTAAAGCAACATGGGCAGACCAATCACAGACTGACTCAAAATAATATTGTTTGACTAGAATTTGATATTTTTTACCATTTGAAGCCTAAACAGAGAATACTTTCTAGTGTGCACAAACCATGGCAGTCGTGGACTAAATGAACCAATATTCCCTGAATTATTATATAAAAATACCAAACATCTGGTGCTATGAATGCTAAATGCTGATTTGCAAATTCAGTTTGACCCACATCTTCAATATAAGGACTTCTCCTTCACTTTTGCTTGTGGATCCTTCCAGGCAGTATCACTGACCCATGTTGAACCTTTCCCCTCTCACTAACGTCTTGTGTAGCTCCACAGTTCTCTCCATCATGTGGTAATGGGTTTTTGGGTTAAGGGGAGTATCCCAGTGTCCCCTAAAGCGTCCCTCTTTACCCATTTGGTGTGTTTGGATTAGTCTTTTATGTGGTTTTATATGAAAGGCACATGTGTTACCGGTTATATGACATTTTGGACCTACTTTGTATCCACTTTGGAGGGAAAATACGACTTTAAGATGACATGTTTATCCTTCAGTAACTAAAAGTTGTCTATGATTTCACAACTGGGACCTATCATTTCTGACAGTTAGGAGCACATTTCTAAAATCCTTTGTTTGTGTTTCAGGGTGAGGAGATCACCAAAGAGGAGATCGACATGTTGAGTGACGCATGCTGTAAGCTGAAGGGCCAGAAGAGGCTGCTGACTCTGGAGAAAGAGGAGCTCGAAGACCTGAAGGACGACGTCCAGGAATACAACGAGGTGCCGCTCTTTGACTCGTAGTTATTGCAGAGAGAAAATGTTCCATCAACCGAATCAAAATCTTTGTATTTGGTGAAATGTAATCGTTGCATCAAAATGATATACATTAAAACTATTATACATTACATTACAATCAACATATCAAAAGGAAACAAGGAAAAATAAGCAGAAATATCATTAATCCTCATACAAACATTAATTTTCACATAAAGGGGTTTTTCAAACAGAGTGCCACAGTGACGCGTCCTAAAACCCGGAAGTAAGCTGCGCATGGGTTCCTTCGACAAAAATGCAATGCAATTTCTCCATAGAATGTTGGAAAATAGCTCGAAATAAGGTCTGTGGTTGACACACATTTAAGAGACGGATCACGTTTTGTTCAGTCGAATAATCTCCACATGTCTACCCTACTTCTAATCTAATCGATAGATTTATGATCGATAGATTCATGATTCGAAAATTATAAAAGTAGGGTAGACATGTGGAGATTATCCGACTGAACAAAACGTGATCCGTCTCTTAAATGCGTGTCAACCACAGACCTTATTTCGAGCTATTTTCCAAAATCCTATGGAGAAATTGCATTGCTTTTTTGTCGAAGGAACCCATGCGCAACTTACTTCCAGGTTTTAGGACGCGTCACTGTGGCACTCTATTAACATAATTTCTAATACTCATGGTCATTTCTTCCATTCCATATATTTCATTTACAAGATCCCCCCATATAGTATCTTATCATCTTTTAACCAACACCTTGTCGTTTGTATAATAATTGCTACTCGTATCACTAGGATCAGGTGGGAAACTTTCTCCTTGATTTCTTCCTTGTTTTCTAAACAGTAGACCAATTGATTTCTTAATTCAGAGAAATACCAAAAATAATTGACTTTCTCTTGTGTCTTTTTGTTGTATGTCTGTTGTGTATTCGCATGTGTTTTTTTTAGGATCTGGAAGAGATAAAGAAGGAGCTCTCTAAGACCGGACAAGAGAAAGCTCTGGAGGAGTCGAAGGCGAGCCAGCGTCTGTCGAAGAGGGTGAACCGAATGATCGGTCGCATCGGTAAGATCATCGGAGAGCTGGAGAAGGACAAGGTCATCCTGGACGGACAGATGGAGAGTGGAACAACCCCACCTGTCGGGTAAGAGCGGAAATCTTATTTGAACCTACACTGCTGCTGTCTCAGGGGGTTCAGAATAGAAAATGGTTCCAATATTGGTCTGAACATCCATTTTGTAGTATATTTTTCAAAGTAAAGGGCTCACGATATTCACATTTTTTTTAGATTGTCAATATAGCCCCTAAAAAGATCAAAACAAAATATCCCTCAATACTTTTCAACCTCGATAATCAGGTCAGAAATACATAATTTATTTCTAAAAAAGGTGCAGTATTTTTCTAAAACAGTTGGTCTCTGTAGTTTTTCAAATGTTACTCAATCAGGAGGAAATGGTTCTTTGTAGGAAACTATTTTAACAGTAAATTAATTCACATTTGGTGTTTTAGTGTGTTTTGGTGCAAAAGGATGATGTAAGTAGGAATACTACTTATTTTATCTCATGAATTAAAACACTTTTTTCTCAGTTATCTTTGATTTTAAAGTGTATATGTCTCTTTTTTTGAGCAGTAATCCGTTTTTATTATGGACTTTTACATTGAAACTATCATCATTATCTTATCACCATCATCCTCTATCGTCATCTTCATCATCATTACGTTTTCAAATGGTGGTGGAGATAATACAAGGAACAACATGTTTTCCTGAAGAGAAACATATGCTGTCAGTTATCATGCTAACCATAAATTCACAATTGCAAAACCGAATCCTAATTTATTTAAATTTTACAGATTATTCTTTATTAGACATAGGGATGCCCGAAGGTAAGCTGCACTGTGGTAAATTGTCATTTGCTTGCTTGCTAAACGCTAACCTCGCATCATTTAACGGTAAGCTGCTGAAATTTTGCTCTAAACGATCAACCAGCTTCCCTTTGTGCTCCATACACCAAAGTGCACCCCATTGGTTGCTGTGTATCCACTTTAATAAACAGTTATTGTTTCTTAATGAATGAAACAAGATGTAATGCTAAGATCTAACTTAAAGGGGACCTATCATGCAAAATGCACTTTTGTACGTCTTTTACACATGAATATGTGTCCCCGATGTTCCAGGGAACTCACCAAGTGTCAGAAAACACAACCCTCTCTATTTTCCTCCATACCCAAATCTCTAAAAAAGGGTCTGCGACGGATCTGATAAAAACTGATCCAGATTTGAACACTGTCCTGACGTCAGGACGGTGGCGCTACGGCTATTGGGCCAACTCCACCAATCAGGAGGAGACAGCCACGGCCATTGCCGTTCGAAAGCGCTGGAGACGCTGTAGTACATATGCCAGGCCTGTAGATGGTGCTGTTCTCACTGAATCAGCCCTTGCTAAAACAGGGCTAAAAAAGTACAAATTAAGCGAAATGAGGCATGGCTAAAATGCATGATCTGTTTGGTATTTTGAAAAAAAAAAGTATAAATATGCCTTATATAGGTATGGTCCTACACTATATTATTAAAATATAGCATGATAGGTCCACTTAAAAGTGCTTGATTTGAATTTAGGAAAACTCAAACCTTATTTGTGTAGTTTTTGTCAGGGATTTACTGACAATCAGTGGTGGACGTATTTGAGTAAAAGTACATAAGTAATATCTGTAAAATGTACTTAAAGTATCAGAACTAAAATAACTCATGATGCAAAAACTCCTACCAGAGTAATTTTGGAGCCTTTAAGGTCTGGAAAATTCATTGTTTTTATAATATGAATATCTTTTTAGACTTTAGGGGCTCTCCTTTTAGTTTTAAAAAGTAAAACTTCAAAATCAATCAATCAATCAATCTGATCAGGTCTACTCAGCAACTTTATTGAAACCATCTTTGAGGCTGTGTAGGGCCTTTGATTTATAACAATATATTTAATATCTCTATTATGTGATTTGTATATTTAAAAAAAAGTTATTAATAAATATAGCGCTTAGAAAACTGTAATGAAAAAAAGTATTATATTTCCCATAAGACAATCATTTGATGTTAAAATTAAAATATGGTAAAATATTAATTAATTCAGCTTTAAACTAAATTTACCAGCTTTAAAAACCAATCGGTTGAATCCGTCTATTGATTCTTAGTAGCATTTTGAGCATGGATTAACTTTGAGGCAGCTTCCACAGTAATGTTCACTCTCACTATCGACGAGGCTTGAAATCAGCGTAATTGGTGTGATCCGGGAACCTCTATTGGGGCATGTTGTCCTCAGACTTCTCCACCACATTTTCCTCACAATTGGTTACATACCGTTTCCTGTATGCAGTGTGTTCTGCTCCTTCAGGGAGAACCTCATCAGCATCGACGAGCTGATCAGCGTCATGCGACAGATCCAGAACATTCCTGAGCACAAGCTGCAGAGCATCGCCGAGTCGCTCGACGACAACAAGGACGGGAAGATCGACATCGACGACGTCATCAAGGTACGTTCACGAGACAACTGAGAAATTAGATATATTCCCCTGATTTGTGGATTCGTATTTTTGTTTTGCGATTTCTTGAATGCGGTTTGTTTTTAATAGGAAAAGGATCAAAACATGTGTTATGGAAGAGAAGGGCTTTATCTAATTAAGCATATCAATTATTGTATTCTGAATGTCTTGAATGCCCTTTAAAACTTTTACTTTTTAAAAAACTTTCACTTTTTTACCTTTCAGTAAGAAGAGTTTGTTTTTTCAAATGACTTTTGCACAACACATTTCTCTATTTTATGTGTATTGGATTGAAGAGGGTGAAGGTTGTTGGCATTTTCTTCTCAATTAAATCTGATCGGGACACAGCAGATTAGCTGAGTTTTGTATTTGGATATATAGTACCTCCGGGAGTTTCTACAGTTTTTATTTTTTTACTATTTAGCCATGAATTTTTTGTTTTATGTAGAAATACTTCGAACACTAATCTCATTTGTTTCACCAAAGACAAAACACTTTAAAATCAGGTCACAAATGTATGCATTCATTTTGCCAAAAGCTCAGTAATTTCCTAAAACAGCTGGTCACCTCAGTATATAGCAAACATAACTAAACTAAAGAAAACATGCTCTTTTTCTCAATATTAGCAAAAGTAGAAACATTATTTATTTATTTATTTAATCGTTTATTTAGCAGGGACAATGCACAGTAATGAACACTTAAAACATTAAAATGTGTCAAGCGTAACAGTGCCAGATTTAGCTTTAAGCTAATTTCCATCCGCAGTCCCTCACAAAACTAATGGCTATAATGAGTGTATTCTCCCCTGTTCGAAAATGAAATGGAATATTTCCTGGCACACGTGACACACCTCCACCTAGCTTCATTACAATCTAGCCATTCGTTTTTCTGTAATCCTATTATGTTATTTAGAAATACTTGAGATATAAAGCAAAGTATTAACGGCTCAAATAATAATAATAATAATAATAAACTTTATTTGTATAGCACCTTTCATGCACAAAGCAGCCCAAAGTGCTTTACAGAAAACATAACAACAATATTAAAATAATATTAAATTAAGTACAGAACAAGATAAAACATTTACAGTGATCCTAATGAAATTCCCTTGAATTAAAGCTCATCCAGAATGCAGCAGCTCGTCTGGTCTTCAACCTTCCTAAATATTCGCACACCACACCGCTCCTCCGCTCCCTTCACTGGCTTCCAGTAACTGCTAGAATCCACTTCATGACACTGGTACTAGTGTACCATGCTGTGAATGGATCTGGCCCTTCCTACATCCAGGACATGGTTAAACCATACACCCCAGCACGTGCACTCCGCTCTGCATCAGCCAAACGGCTCGCTGCACCCGCACTGCGAGGGGGACCCAAGTTCCCATCAGCAAAAACACGTGGGTTTGCTATCCTGGCTCCAACATGGTGGAATGAGCTCCCCATTGACATCAGGACAGCAGAAAGCTTACACATCTTCCGGCGCAGACTGAAAACTCATCTCTTTCGACTCCACTTCGAGCAATAAAATTACTAACAAAGCACTTATATACTAATAAAGGACTGGCTTATCTAAAGCTAGTTGAGTAGCACCTGAAATGTTTTGGCTCTATGAAACCTGATGTACTTATATGATTCTGTCTTCTTCAAGTTTCTATCTTCTTGGTCGAATGCACTTATTGTAAGTCGCTTTGGATAAAAGCGTCAGCTAAATGCAATGTAATGTAAAAAGCTGACAAGAAATTAAAATAGGTTAAAAGAAATTAATTTAAAAAAGACAATTAAAAATGTAAAATAAAAGCAAAACAGATCAAATACAGTAAAATATGGACAATGATTCTATGATAAGCCATATTACAAAGATCGGTTTTTAATTTGCTTTGAAACATTTGCTCTTTTGTCCTGCATTATCCCAGGTGGTGGAGCTGATCGACAATGAGGACATCGACATCTCCACCTCTCAGGTGGCGGACATCATGGTGATGCTGCAGAAGGAGGAGAAGCTGATAGAGAAGGAGAAGGCTAAAGAGAAGGCTGAGAAGGAGGCAGCCACTTCCAACAACTAACTTTTTCCATAAAGACACATAGCGATGTATAAATATAGAAAAAGAGACCACTGACTGGCTCCCGGTCACAGAAAACTCTTCACAGCAGATCGATGTGGACGACCATTAAGAGAGGTAACCGTTGCCTTCTCAAAATGTCGTTTCATCGTAAATTAAAGTCCTGAAAATAATCTAAAAAATCATAAAAGAAGGCAAATTGCCTTTAAAAATGCACAAAATCTAACTTGATAATGTTAAACGTTTCTGTACTAATCATGTAATATATGTTGATTATATGTAACTTATATATCAATGAGTTATTGATAGAGGGAACACAATGGTTATTATTCCAGCATGAGAGATGGCAAAAGAGGAAGTTTAAAGATGATGTTTGGAAAAATATATATTAGGGAGAAATATTGTTTAAAGTTTGAGTTCATTTCTGGACCCTTCTCAGTCATCTTCATTACCATCATTTATTTATTTTCCTCTTTTTGATTTAGTTTATTCATCATGCTCTCATATTGTAACCTTTTGTTATTTCTTTCTGAATGGTACTTGCACAGGGTAGCTTTTTGCTTGCTTTAGTGTAGTATGGTGGCTGCTAACAAATATATAACCACACACAGAAAATCCACAAAAAACATTGAATCATGCGTGAGATTAAAATAATGCTAATTATTCAATCTAATAATAAAAAAAATAATCCTAGCTTTACGTTCATCATTCCCAGTCAATCATAAGTACATGGAGGATTCATGTGTTGGATGTTAATGACTAAAGTTAGCATCAATATTAAAAACTACTGTACTGGATTTTCTTTTTGTACGTAATATTTTGTCTCATTTTAGCGCAGCTCTTCATAGTCATTCTTGTGTATTTTCAATAGATCTCTGATAAATGCCAAAATTGCACGATGGCACATTTAATCATAGCTTTTTGATTCCTAAAACCAATAAACAAACAAAGCCGTTAAGACTGACTGATTTCCCAGCAGTAAGGATAATGCGTATCTTGACACAAAAACAGCCAAACAATTGAAATATCAGTCAGTTGTGTAGAGTAGAAAAGTGTTTATTTGTTTCGTTTTTTTCTGGTTTCTGTCTCGGAAAGTATTTTGCAGTTGTTTGGAGGTTGTCTGCTCGGAAGGTGGAAGTAGTTTTATCTGCAACTAGTTCATTTTATGCACATGAGTAGTGTGATAACTCGTAATCCTGACCTCCATAGCTTGTATACTAAGTGGCCTTTGCTTGACAGAGATATTATGGATCACGAACGGCTGTATATTTTTGGAGTACTATAAGGTAGATAGTCTTCACAGAGAGGATTTACTTGATGTAATTTGGGCTGAAAGAGGCTTTGTTGTAGTTGAAGGTGGTTAGAGGCACACACTGAGTTATTTAGCACTGCAGCCATGAATGTGTGTGGATTGTACAAAGCAATCATTTCAGATAATAATCAAGTCAACTACTGAGCTGCCTTTTCAACTGTGTTCACACTGCAGGCAGCCTGGCCACTGCATTTTTCACAACACATTTAAACAAGTGCTGCAATTAATATTTATTTTGATTTTATTTGTTGCGCTTTGTTTAAACGTTAATCTATAACATGTCAAACAATGGACAAGATGACGGTTTCAAATGATGATTTTTAGTCTGTCCAACACCCATAATCGGGGTTTGGATTCAATTGGTAAAAATAAAACAGGAAAAATTAGCAAATTCTTATAATTTAGAACTTGCAAACAGCCATTGTTCACTCATTCAATTTTTGCCTAATTGATGTCTTACACAAGTACTATATTTTCAAAATGGAGGTATCTGTCAATCAGCTCATTGTTTAATTGAATACTTTCAGCACACTGAGTTGTTTGTCTAGTGGCTCGCAGTGTGAACCCACAGTAAAGGGAAGATTTAGTGTTGGGTACTCTGTGGTGGAACAAACACTTTTTCCTCCACGGTAACCAGAGAGGAGCTCAGGTGTAAACGTCAGAAGACAAAGTGGTGCTTGAGATAGCGCTGAGAGGACGGCGCTTCATTTAATCTGTTCCCGGAATCCGCTGTCATACGTGTGCTTGATTTAGAGCTCGTGGTGCTCTGTCCCGGGTCAGACCCAGCGCTGCAGTCACTCTGATGGGTGCTGATGGGTAAACACTCGCCCCATACATGGGCCCCAGCCAGCTCCTCTGGAGGGTTGTGTTTATGTTCGAGGCGATCCTGCGGGACATGGCATGCTCTGCGCCGCATAAATCAGCCGTCGGTGTAAACACGTCGCAGGAACGCTGTGACAACGTCTCTATTACACTTGGCAGCAGAGAGGGGTGTTTGTGGTCGGGTCGGAGGAGTGTGTGTACGGCTCAGAGGAGTGTGTGTACGTTAGCAGCACTGCCACTGTTTCTAGGCACCGAGGGGCCAAAGGACCGGGGGTATATGTGTGATAGTGATGTATACCAGGGCATCAAGGTCTGGAGAGGATTTAAATGGTATGTGTGTTGATGCAGAGCGCTCCAGGAAAATTAAATTTATTCATCTGTTAATCATTTAATCTGTAAAAAGTGATCTGTCAGCACCCAGGTTTTTGTCCAACCAACAGTCAACAACCTCAATCATTTGTATTTACAATCATATCAATCTAAACTCAAAAGTGTTTGGCATGTTTGGTGAGCGAAATAATTAACAAGTGATCTGTTATTTTCTGTCGATAAACGAATGAAACAACCATTTCAGTTCTAAATTATTCGCATCTTCAAGGTAATTTTTTTGTGTAACAAAGCCCAAACATTTTACAAAATTATAGGATATTCAATATAGAAGCAGAAAATGAAAATTTGCTAATTCTTACACGTGAAATGGTTCCTTTTGACATTATATTTCGGACATGCTAGCGGGATATGATAATAAAACATGAAAACCTGACAAACCTAAAAATGCATTCATGAAATTCTGGAACAAACAATTACATTTTTTACCATTATATGAAAGCAGAATGCTACATGACAGTCACCATTTAAAAAAGTTAGCCTATTTTTACAAAACTTAGATTGTTGTTATTTACAAAACCTCTGCAGGCGTGCATGGTGGTTTGTGATTGTGTGTGGAGCGGAGCAGCGTTCAAAGCTCACCGCTGGCAGCAGTGTTGCACTATGTTTCAGAAAAGTCTTTCTAAGGGAGGAAGAGAGGAGGGATACGGTCGGCAGCAGAGGCATTTTGACAGCGAGCTTAAATAAGTAGTTTTTCATTGGAAACAAAGTCCAGTATGCAGGAGTCTTGTTTTTTTCTCTTTTGGTGACTTTCATTTGACATTTTAGACTCATTGGAAGAAGAAACAGCAGATTTGAGCTCGCTGTCTCTGATTGTCCTCTGCTGAGTATTTCCAATGTGTAAATGCACTATTTGATTTTGATACCGCAGGTGTGTGTGAACTGTTTGGACTCAGGCTGTGTGAGCTGCTTTGTTTTGCGATCTACGATATAAAAACCGTCCTTAAAGATTCCTGTAGAGTTTGAGGAGTTGTATGCTAGAAGAACAAATACTTAAAGCAATAAGTCATTGATGCATCATGTACATAACTTTGTATTTTCCTTTCTTCCTTTTTGAGGCAGAGGTGTGTTTGATTGTAATATATGTAATTTAGAGTCAGTAAGAAAAAAAGGCTGCTATAACCAAAAAGTGACGTGTGGTTTTTGATAGTCTGCTTTTTTGGGAGGTGATGCACTAGTTGGTGATTATTGTATGGAACTATATATTTTTAAGAACCCACTTTTTCCAGGAAGCTACCTTTTTGTAGGATCTTTAAAAATATATGAGATTTGTCTTTGGGTGGAAGTAGGGGGAAAAGGCAGCTGGAGACTGAAACCAGGGTCAGGAGAGTTTTTTAAAGTCAGGGAAACATGATGATGAGTCAGAGTCTAACAGGAGTAACTATCAGGTTCATACTCTGGTCTGGAAACTAAGAAAATAATCAGGTGTAGAAAACTTTAAACATTTTAATTAATAGCGCATCCGCCATCTTTTATCACGAGTTCAGGTGTGTTCAGGCAGAAGGCTAAGCATATATTCCACACTTTTCTACCAGTTTCAAATGTAGAAAATACATATATATTCAAGATTTGTTTGCATGTGTGGAAATGGAAAGACGCATTTTTTTAACATTTCCAAGCGCCGAAAATAAAATGCTATTTGCCTTCTGTCTGAACCGGTCTGAACACACTGTAAATAATTCTAGCCACTTTTAGTTTACATGATATTAATCCCAAACAATAATCAAATTAATTCTAAAAAAGAAATATAGGAATCCAGTGTTGATCTTTTAAGTTTTAATAGTCGAACATCAGAGAAAGAAATCAGGTAACATCTCAACTCAGTTTGAAAGGTGCGGTGAAATCATGCAGTATAAAAGACATAGCCTGCTGGAGGTTTAGTTTTGAGATAATTGTCATGTTATTTATTTATTTAATAAAATTTTGCAATGTTTTTTTTTTTTCTTCATCCAAATGTGGACATATTCTTTAACAACATGACCTGATATCAGAATTTAGTTTGACTAACTTGACCCTCAAATGACTATCTTGACCCTCAAATGACTATCTTGACTCTAAAATGTACAAAAAGCTTCATTTATTTTTAAACACAGATCAAGTGTTAATGTACAGAAACCTTTCAAAAATGAATCATACATGTTGAATAAATTATGGATGATCCTGGATTCTCTTTTTTGTTTGATTTTGTTTTCCCATCACTCATGCTTTGTCTCATTTCCACCCAGCCATTTTAGGTTGTGTGTGTGTCATCTCTAAAGCTCTCCACATTTTCTGTGTTTTGTTTTCCCAAACCCTCAATCTTCACATCACTGCCTCTCCCCACAAAGCCTCCGTACTCCACAGCTGGAGCTCAACCCAGCTAAAATGTTAAAGTCTGAATGTTAACAGATTAAATTAAAGTGCACAGACGCATCGAGGCCATTACAGATCTGGTTTTTAAGTCCTTAAGCACACTGAACGTCCTGTAAAACACCATCATTGGCCAGGCTGACATGCTTACTTCTTGCAGGTTTCTGTTGAATATTTAATCATTTTCTTTTGCATTAATGGCAAAAAGAAAAATCATGTTATTTTGGCGGTGTGTCTCTGCTTATGTGATGCTCTGGAACAGATCCAAACAAAGCCTGAAAATACCAGATACACAACATTTAATGAGTACAGTTTAAAATGTGAATACAGGAAGAGGCTGAGCAGGCAGAGTGAGTCTCATTCCTGATTGTGTGACAGCAGAAGATGCAGAGAGCGTGTTAGCCAATGGTAATTGCATAAGCGTTACAGCCTTGAGTATTCCTTGTGTCTTCTTAACAGAGGTTGAGAAGTAATGAACTTACTTTAGAGCAGCACGTCACTGTAAGAAGCTAATGGTATCTGAAAGTGGATCCCAGGAATGTATAACGTTTGCACAGGTATGTTCTGTAAATAGTCAGTAGAGGTATAATTGTATATAAGATTAAATATGGGTTGTTTTAAAGTTGTTTCAAGGCAGAATTCTGCAAAATGAAACCTATGGGTGTCATTTTTATGTGGTTTGGAAAATGTTGGATTTATTTAGATGTTAGGAACACTGCGGTTCATGTACTCATTATTTCCCTGAGGCCTAAAACAATTAATCACATTTAAAGTCGCAGGGGTCTAAAAAAAAAATCTGGTGTTCGCTGCAGTCCGTCCTAAAAAAACACGAATATTACTAATGAAGCTTTTTCGTCGGCTTTTCATGCCCATATATAAGTTTGACACACGTTTACCCTCCTTCACTCCAGTTTGTTTTGTCTTTTGTTTCAATTTCATCCATTTTCCATCGGTTTTACCCTCATATTCATATATCATGAAAATATGTCAATATCTGATGGAGATGTTAAAGATTTTGCACAAGTTAAATGAACCTTTTCTAAAGATTCAAATAATAATAATGGGCCTTTTGACTCTTAAAACAGCTTTTAAGAACATTTTTCAATGTAATTCCTAGAAGTTTGAAAAATATGGACTCGGGATGAGATGTTTATACGAGCGAAACTTAACGGGAGACTCTGATTCAGTGTAGAAAATACTATAAGTGATCCTCAAAATATATTTAAGTTATTTTAAATAAGGGTGGAGAAGGGGAGTTTAGTCCTGGGACTCAGCTGCCTTAAGTGGACACTTGAAGCAGCAGATTGAGGTCCTCACTGCTGTATAAACAGTATGTGGACCTTCTTTTAAAGTAGAATTTTACTGTAAATAAGTTAAGGAGCTCGCTAGATGTCTCACTGTGCAGCACTTAGTCCCATCGCAGACTGCATGCTCAAGTAGAATAAAACATTAAACTCTTCTATCGGTGTATAACCTGAGTCTGTACAACATGTATTTGTATATTTCACATTTTGGGGTGTTTTCCTGATGTTGGATCTCTGCTGAGAACAAAACACAGACTCTCCTCACAGCTTCAGTGTTCATAGTGGCTGTAAAGTTTTCTCAAATATGTAAACCAACTGGGCGTGCTTCACTCAGATACTTAAGGAAAGAACTATAGGAATCCTAAAAGTCAAGAAGAAGATTGAGAGGAAGGGGTGACTTGTTTTGACTCAAATGTCCTCTCCTCACAGGTGCTTCATGCTTTGTACTGTAACGTATTTCTTCTGGAAGTCACGTGTTTCGTTTTTTTTTTTTTTAACATCAGTGCCTGAGGATAATTTTATTGACCACATCCAAGTCCCTGTGGTTGATATGTTCTGTTATGGTTTCTTAAAACCAGTTGTCATGTTGGTTATTTTATTCTTTTAACCACATTAACATCTTGTTTGAAAAAAGATTGTGGTGTCGAGAAATGTTGGGTTAATTAATCGTTTCTTCCAGAGCATCATTGATGTGTTTTTATGAAAACATGATTTCCCACTCAATTTTGCCCCAACATCATGTTTTCAGGCATGCAAAAATAAACTGTACTTAACTTTCTTGGAAACAAAACTTTTAAACAAACTATTTTAAAGTTTTTATCTTTAAACAGCTTAAAAAAAGAAGGCAATGCAACTTTTTTGTAAAGCAGCTTTCCTACATTGATCAATTCAAACTGAAAAACACACAAGCCTAACTCAACTACATTGGTGCTCACAGATAATGTAATGCCTTGCAAGTCGTGCAGGTTTGAAAGCCCCCCCGCCCCTTAATTACATCTTAAGGGCTTTAAAAAATGCAATAATGATATTTATTAATAAGGTGTAACGAATGTACATTTTCAATGTATCACTTGCTGTTATGATAGGTTACTCTATTTACATGTTCAAGTTTTTGCTTTAGGCTTCTTCGGTTTATTTGTGATAGTATTTCAACACCATGTTAAAGATTTTGGAATTTTCCATCTGTCTCGACATCTGAATGTCCTGTCTGACTACAAAGAGCTGGGGAGAGTAAAACAGTTTAGAAATCATACAAAACAGGAAACAACAGCTGTTGAATAACACTGGGATTTGTATTCATAGTGACAGAAAAGAACATAGTGTCGATCATCAATGTAAATCTTCACACAGATGTAGAAGTTTATAAAACTGAAAAGTGTTTATAGTGAAACCACACTGTTGTCTGCTTCAGTATAACACTCACAGTGCTGTCTAAATGAACATCTGGATGGTTCGCCAGCTGCTGTGATCACGCTGTTATTCACATCGCTTGAAACAAACTGCAATAAATCTCTATACAGCTGCTGTCTGTGCTTCTGCCTTCAGTAGTAGTGGTCTATTCTATCTGTTAATGAATATAACCCATTTGAAATAAACACATACTGATACTTTGGGCTGGTATTTGTCTTTATATATACATTAAAGGTCCCATGTCATGGCCATTTCTACTGATCATATTTCCATTGTTGAGGTCTACTAGAATAGATTTACTTTGTGAAATTTTCCAAACTCACATTGGTTTCTCATACAGCATCTCTGTATAGTATGTGTATTCACTCTCTGTCCTAAACGGCTTGTTGGAGCTCCTGCCCCCCCCCCCCTCCCCTCCCTGTGAGCCCAGTGTGCTCTGATTGGTCGGGACGATGCGAGGCTCGTTGCTGCTCGCCGCTGCTGTGAGCTGCTGCGAGGAGCGGACAGGTTTCCGGGTCAGCGATACAGCGAGAACAAGCAAAACTCATCCTGAGCACACACAAACACTCACAGCCGAAGTAAAAACAATAAGTGTGGCTTGATATTGAGTAAGAAAAAGGTTTATAACGCTGTGAGAATGGGTCTGCAGAGAGCATTTCTTCGCGATCCCAACTCGTCTATTACCAGCGTTCAGGGAGCTCTATGCAAGTCAATGGGGATTCCCTGTTAGTTAGCCAAGGGATCCTGGTGTGTGAGGTGCTCCGCGGATTGGTCCATTTGGGCCAATCCGGTCATTTGTTGTTGATTTGGGTTTTCACACGTCAGAGAACCCAGGAAGAAAACAATGGAAAATGAGAAACCTCCAACGAGGTGTTTTGGGTTAGCATAGACAGGTCTTTTCTGTGTTAGAGTTTTACTCGCTAAAATGAAAGCAACTTCAGTGTCAAAATATCAGCTTTCAGCTTCCAAAAGCTAATTTCCATCCATTTGTTTACAGTTGTTTGCAGTGTGGCCACCAGATGGCAGTGTGAGCCTGATAGTGCAGATGAATACATTCTCTAAACTGGCTTCATGATAAATGAGCACAGACCAGTCAGCCACCTAGCAAAGAGGGTAAATAAAAGGAAACATTTTGTCCTCACACATTTGCAGCTTCAGGTCAGGTGAGAGTGTTTTTACTGTGTCATGTAACCACAGAAGAAGAAACACTAATTGACTTTCAGACATGTCCCTGTGTGTAATCTTTCTGCTCTCATTATGTTCCCTTGTAGGGGAAACCCCACCTTCCTGGCGTCCCAGCAGAGAAAACAAACCATGCAAAGAGTTTCAAAGGCTTCATGAATCTGAGCTCCATGCAAACTAATGATAGAGTAGTTAGCCTGTCATTTAAATTGGCTAAATGCACATCGTTTTGTTTGTTTAAAAATGTCACAATGACTAGGGATAGATTGAATAAAGCAGTTTGGAAGAAGTACTCCTTTACTTAAAAACACCACAATGATAAAATGTTACTTTAAAAAAAAGTTAAATAGTTGCACCAAAACTGCCCCGATGTAAATATGAAAGTAACTTTTTTTGAAGTGTAGTCCAGGTTTTTGTGAATTTTGTAATGCATCAATAATACAAATCAAAATTAATGGAAATATAAAATGACATCATAGTGGCCATACAAGATGTGTTGCTTAAAATTATTTAATTACACTTATATATATATATATATATCCTCTAAAACGTCTCAAATGGTTTCACGCATTACCTGAAACTCCGATGAAGCCAGGTTTCAAATTCTTATGTAATTTTTAAGTATTAGGTTATACTTATAATCTTTCTTTATAATCTTTATATATTAGACTCAAAGGGTTTTACAGGAACAATTAACATTATTCCCTTTGAAACGGTTTTATAAATCAGGATCTGAGTGATGAACAAAGCCTTCTTTAAAAACTGAAACATTTTAAATGTATATATATAACTCTGAGAAACATCCCTGTTGATTACTTACATATTTTGTATTACAAGTTCTCTTAAATGTTATGAATAAATATGCTTAAGTCACATTTTCCAGTTCTAAGATTAGGTGAGTTTAGGAGAAATCTCAGGTT